ACGTAAGCTTTTGTTGTATCCCAGAGGTTTTGAAGGGACGTATGTTCTCTCTTATTTATTTTGAAAAATATTTTCAATTCTTTTTTCAATATAATCGTTATCTTTTATTATACTATTATTATATGTCCATCTTCCAATCATTCTCTTTCCTTTCCACTTAATTTGAATAGGATTATGATCAGCCCATATGTTTGGCAAGATCTCTATATTTTCAATGTTTTTCATTAAGCCTGGGTCCATCCATAATTGGTCTATTCTGGACCAAGAGTGATGGGGGTTGGAAAAGAAAGTGTATTGCTTTTTAGTTGGATACAGTTCTCTCCACGCATCTTTCAAATTTAATTCCCTCACCATGTTATTAAAAGAAGATGAGAATGGTCTCCTTTTATTTTATTATTATTATTATTATTTTGGAGCTTTTATAGTCTTTGTCCTTGTCGGAAACAGCATTTAAATCTCCTACAATACATACACTTGTATAATCAGTTTCTATTATCTTGTGATGGAGTTTATTACATAATTATTTTTGTTTTACATTCGGGGCATATACTGTAACTAACAAAATCTTTTTCTGGTTTAATATTATTTCTATAAATAACATTCTCCCTTCATCATCCTTATATACTTGTTTATGTTGCAGCCAATCTTTTATATATACTACGATACCTCTTTTTCTTTGATTTGAAAGAGCCCAATACATTTTTCCCAAATTAGTATCCTTTAGAAGGTCTGCCTGTTTATCTATGTGTACTTCTTGTATACAAATTATGTCTGCATTTTGTTTTTTAAGTTTTTCAAATGACTGTTTTCTTTTTAATGTTGAGTTTAAACCATTGATATTAACTGAAAATAGAGTGATTTCTCTATTCATGTTACTGTCTGTGTAGAGCATTTTTATTTCTTTCCTTGTTCTGGGTTCTTGGTCTGTTGTCTTCTTCTTCTCTAAGTTTCTGAGATTCTAACTGTGGTGCAAATTCTTTCTCTTCGGAGAGTTGCCTGATTAACTAAATAGATGTATTTTTACTATAGATGTAGGGAATGAATTCTTGCATGCTGTTAGACACAGTGTTAAATATTATAATTTGCTAAAAATGCCCCCTTCGGTAATATAGAAAAAGTAGCTCAAATGTTCTCATAAAATCCAAGACAGAAATAGTAACCACAGTTAATTTGTGTTAGTGATCCTCAGCAGATGCATTTTATTATCCTCAAAGGAACAAGAGGAAAATTCCATAAACTTTCAATTATTTGCCAAATTTCTAGCTCCAGAGTAGAAGGGTGTGGGCAAAGTTTATTCAAACACTTGAGATCAATCTGCTTTGCACTACATTCATATGCACCATTACAGCAAGAAGTCATCTTAGCTCCCACTGTTTCACAAACAATAACGTAATATACTAGTAAGATCAAAGGCCCAACTGTAAGATCTAAGCTTTGGAGAGAAAGAGACTAGAAAAAAATAGGAAGCAAAAAGTTCATCAAGACACACACAAAAATTGCAACCCAGGCACCTTATTTGCCAAAGCAAGCATATCAATCATTCAGAATGCAAAGCCTGTTAATGATTCTAATCTAAATTATCCCAAGATTTGTTTACTAGTTGACTGGCATATTTTTCAAAGGAAAAAAACTGAAAAAACACTTATATGAAACTTTGATTGGTGTTTTGCTGATGATTTAAAGCAGAGGCCCTTTGGGGCATCAAGGACCAGTTCCGTGGAGACAGGTTTTTCCGTGGACCAGAGGGGGCATGGTTTGTTATGCTGCTTTCATCTCACGGATGGGGCTTCACTTGTTTGTGTGGCCCGATTTCTGGTATGCCGCAGCCCAGTGTCACTACACAGACCAGGGTTGGGGACCCCTGATTTAAAGCACTTAACAGTAACTGGGATATCATAGGTAATGCAAAAGAAGCTAGATTTCAAACATTTTGACTAATGCTTTTCCAAATAGCTTTGGGACAGATTTTGTCATATTGTATAGTTGTCTGATCGGGAAAAAGGCTAACAATTGTCTCCATTTCTAAAATGTTCAGATTTTTTTTAAAGCTTCCTATAATTGTTCCATTTTGGCTTATACAGAGAGAGCATCTCCCCAAGAAAATAATATTCCATCTTAAATTTCTTTTCCACAATCCTCAAAGATGAAAAGTCTATAATACTGTTATGTGTCCATAGGTTAGCTCATTTGAATGAGAGAACATTGGAGATTTAGTGTGTCATCTCTCTTCAAAGATTAGGCATTACTTGTAAATATTTGCACACATAGCAAACAAATTCCTACAATACTATGAAAATTGGTAGCTGGAGATAAAATCTGCAGATAACAACAGGCAATTCATTTGAGTAAAGGCAGCTGGGTGACCTTGGGCCAGTCACTTTCTCTCAGCCCTAAGATGGAGGCAATGGCAACAATAACTTCTGAAAAATCTTGTCAAGAAAACTGCATGGACTTGTTCAGTTAGTCTCCGAGAATCATATGTGATTGAATGGAAGAGAAAAAATTCAGGTGAAGCTAGTTTACAGCTCTTTATTCTTTCTACTTTCCCACAATGAGACTTCTCAACACTGCATTCCAATTTACACAGGGATTTCAAGCTACCAAAAACATTAGTTTTCCAGCTATCATCAAAAACAGTATAGGAAAACCTCTAATCATTTTAACATGACAGGCCAGCAATATCAGCTTCTATTTGTGCAATGACAATAAACGTTTATAAGCAGAGTAAGCTTTTAGCAGCCCAATACAATCAATCATTTGTTTCCCCAACAAATAAGGCACACTTAGAACTTTTACCACACAGTGGTAAATGGTTCCTGCTTCTTGTAACATCATACGAGGACTTCAGTCATCCACAAATTTCATACATTTGCATTTGGGAAGCCTTTGCGTACATAGCTGTGAATGCAGGTGTTTAGCAACTTAACCCCTAATCTATCAGGGCTTGAATTCAGAAGAGAAATCTTTGTGTATACCAGAGCTTGACCTCTGTAAAAGTTCTGCACTGCAGATTGTTGAATTGTACTTGTGTGAGCATCCTATTTCTAAGTGAAATAATACATACTCCTTGACTTACATCTGGTTTCAAAAGTTGTAAGGTCTGCAGGGATCTGGTGGGAAGAGAAAACCAAGCTTCAGGCCTGTGGGGGGGGTCACCTGAGATGTAGGAAAAAGAGCATGGGGTTTTTCTGGGGATGGGGGAAGACTTGGGAGATCCAGGGCAGGTGAACCTGAGCCTGCGCTAGACCTCCCAGGGCCACCCCGACCCCCAAGGGACCCTGTGCTCCATTTAATGACATCGTGGAGAGCAAGGATTGGGGGGGGGGGGGGTCATTAAATTAGGCAATCACATGGACATCTCATGTAACAACCTTCCCAACTTGTAACTTTAATGGGCAAATTCCATTATGTTCTTGTGTCAAGGATTTCCTGTATGTTCATCAAAAAATACTGTGATTTCACCACATTAATTTATAACTATTCACTATACTAATTTATAAACAAAGCCCTCTTTCAACAAGCATGTCCTTCTTATAAGTCTGACTCAGTCGATCTAAAATTTAGATAACTGAGTGAAAAATTGGAGGGAAGGAATCTCTTTGTATACTCACAAAACTCTTGCTGTGTAAATCAAATACAGGTGGTCATTGACTTACAACATTCATTTAGTGATAGGTCAAAGTTACAAGGCACTGGAAAAAGTGACTTATGACCATTTTTCACAATTACAACAGTTGCAGCATCCCCAAATGATGATCAAAATTCAGATGCTTGGCAACTGACTCATATTTATGATCGTTGCAGTGTCCTGGAGTCATGTGATCACCTTTTGCGAACTTCTGACAAGCAAAGTCAATGGAGAAACCAGATATACTTAAGAACTGTGTTAGTAACAACTGCATTGATTCATTTAACAACCATGGCAAGAAAGGTCACAAAATGGGATACATTCACTTAATGTTTCGCTTAGCAACAGAAATGTTGGGCTCAATTAAGTTTGTAAGTTGAGGACTACCTGTGTTTCTGGTCATTTCTCTTCCTCTGTTCAGAATAGGAAAAAAAATGAGAAAATAAAAATCTAGAATAATTTCATTATTTGGTGTGTCATTTTATCTTGCCAACTATTATTTGGCGTGTCATTTTTTTCCAACTCTTGATTGGTTAACTGGGAGTGAAAGGAAGCGACTGGATTAAGGACTGGATGAGAAGAAAAAATTTAAGCAATTTGTACTAACCTAAAAATGAACTATGGCAGCATTTGTCAACCTTAGCAACTCGAAGATGTCCAGACGTCAACTCCCAGAATTGCCCAGCCAGCCTAGACCAAGGTCTATGCATCCTAACTACAAAGCACACCAAAACTGCAGTTATCACCCCACAAAATTAGAATCTTGAGAAAATTTTCATGAAGTCAACCCCACCCACAACTCTTGCACAAAGCCTTGCTTTAGGTTGAACAGGGACATTTTAAAAGAATGATGTAAGTGGAATAAAATTCAACCAACCAAGGGCAGTTTGACATTTGAATGCATCTTGAAGTTTTAACACACTATACTCATAGTGTGAGTATACTATACAGCTTTGTTTCTTGAGAAAAAGAACATTTAGAAATGCATTTTTTTTTTTAAAAAGGAAGTCTGAAGCAAAAAGAAAACCAAACTTGCCTTTTAACTGTATTTGCAGAGGTTGCCTAGTAGCTAAAGATGCCCATTAATTATAAGAACGCCGATATCCCTTTAAGGTTTGCTTTGCTAGCCTGCAGACTTGAGCCTAAACACTGGCTGTTAAATATCTGACTTTATTTGTACATGTCTCCTAACTTTGAGCTCTTGCCGCATGGGGGTTTCAAAGGCTCAGAGCTTACTTGGGACAACGGAAGGAGGGGGGCTTATTAGAGGGAACCATTCATCTTCATGTGTTGGGGGGGGGGGCTTGGACAACAAACAGGAAATGCCTGGTTCAATCGCAGCGGCTGCTGATACAGAAGGGGACCAGAAGCAGCAGAAGAGTCTTGTGAGCAACAGGACTTCTATTCCAGCTTCAGCTTCTTTCCCCACAAGGTTTCCTGTTACACTTCAGCCATGGGATTTGGCTCCCTCACTGCCGTCTGCAGCATCACACGTGTCTCCATCCCTTGGGTGAGAATAACAGGTATGTCCAGCTTTTTCTAATTTATCAAGCTTTCACTGAAGTTGTGAACAATATCCCCCTTTTAAGATTTTCCCAGAACTACGCAATTCATGCTCTGACTTCTTTCGGTCCGTCTCTTTTGGAGTCAGTTTTTGCTCAGTTAAGCTGCCTTTATTACAACCTATATGCTTTTAATACCAATGCCTGTGATGTCACACCCAAAAAGTTAAGGGGGGGGGGGGAGTTAAGAGAAGACTGATTTGCAAGTGAACGTTCTCTAGACAGATGAGATTACAGTGTGCATCAAAGTAAACTTGTTGATTTCAACTTGGGTTTGTTACTAAACCAAGCTAAAGGATCGGATGAACTTGTGCCTAGTGAAGTGCCCAGAAGTAAAATAGTGCATTGTCACTGGATAGATTGCCAAAAAAACATGTGGTCTTTCCATTTACGGATGTTATGTTCTTGAGGATTTCTTAAAGAGAGCAGTGTGGTGAAATTCAAGTTGTAGCTGGAACAGAGGAAATTAAAATAGTCATAATTATTTAGAATGTTGTGGTCTACTGAAATGCATGGGCAAAGCAAGCAAGGAGGTTGGGCGGGGGATGGATAATAAACGTTTCCAAAGGCAGACAGTAACTAGCAGATTTCTTCCTAAAGGGTAAAGAGCTTCTTCTTCTTTTTTTGCTCATATTCTTTATGATTTTTTTCATAAACCTCTGGATATTTTATTGATTTAATGAGCTCAATATATAGTAAGCAGTCTGTTTAATTGTGTTCACTTGTGGATGGTCTTTATTTCTGAATAAATACAGCAGTTACGTTAATGCTTAATTGCAGTAATTTGGTTTTCCTAAGTAATTATAATCCTCTGCAGCATATATCACACTACTGTAACTTTCAAAATTATACAGTGATGGTCCACCCTTGTTGGTATAGTATTTGTGGTAAAGTTGGTTTTATGTCATTATGGTTTTCCATTTCTGGGCCCTTGGAAAATGTGACTTTTGTACCACCCACGCTTAGTTGAATAAATTACTGTTAAACTTTAGCTTGGAGAAAATAAGTACATACAAAAGCTGAAAAGACAAAAGGCTTGAATCTTCTTAATGAGTTCCATGCATTGTTGATTATCACCAAGTTCCTGAAAGATAGCGATAAGCAAAGCATGGAATATTCCACTTTTCCTGGATAGCTGCAGATGGTAGAGTGAATTAACATGGAAGAGATGCCTGATTTTATTGATTTTCAGTTGAGTAATACATGCATTACTGAATAGACCTCATCTTTGTTCCCAGTGTGTTTGCAAATGTTTATTGGATGCCTCATCAACTTTATCTGTCTATCTATCTATAATCAACGTCTACATATCTATATCTACCATATTTATTTACAAAGAGGTTTCTGGACCACAAATGTTGTATAGTTTATAGGAAAACTAGATATGATGGGTGGGTGCAGTTGAATGCTCTGCCTGGAAGAGTACCCATTCACCCAGACAGAAGACAAAAGTAAATTGGGGTGATTAGAGAATCACAAGGCACTTTAAAGACCAGAGAACAACCTCAATGTTTGTCTTCTCAAAATGTTACTTTTGTCAGTGAAATATGCCTGCTAATCCCAAAGAGATTATGTATTCCTAATCCAAACTAACTTTTCAAGAAGTTGCATTTGACATGAGATGACAACTTTAAATAGTATATGATCAGAAACATTTCAAGCATTCCTAAAAAAAACCTCACTATTCAAAACTACAATCGAAACGATCAATTATGAATAAAATTGTGTATTATCAAGATTTGTTTTCATGTTTTCTCTTCCACTTACCCAGCCACTGTTTTGCCAGGGTTTGTATATGGCCTTGACATGTATTACTTGGAGCTGGATTGTCTTTAATACAATCTCTCTCTTATTTCTACGACAGTCATCTTGTAGTAAACCCTTTTTCTACATATGTTAGTCATAGGTAATATTTAATAGTCTACTACCATGATGACAAATCTATGGCATGTGTGCCAGAAGTGGCACACAGAGCCATTTCTGCAGGCACGCGAGCCGTCGTCCCAGCTCAGTTCCACTGCGCATGTGCACGCACCTCCCGCCAGCCAGCTGATTTTGGGGTATCTGCCGTGCATGCATGGGGGCAGGGTGCAAGTGGGAGATGGTGCGCATGCACAGGGGGTGGGGGAGCATGGGAGGGTCCCGTGCATATGCGCAGGGGGTGGAGGAACATGGGGGTCCTGCATGCATTGCATTATGGGTGCAGGCACGTGTGCATGTTCTCGCATGCTTACACACGCACTTTGGGCACGTGATGACAAAAAGATTAGCCATCTACTACATAGTAGTACTAAATAGACATAATTGGTCAACCCTGTAGTCTGCAAATATTTTTCCAGCTTTAACTATTTTGTCAGTAGTTACGTTCTGGGGTCACCTCTTTGGGCTACCCACATTTACCAGTGACATCCATCAGTAGACTACACTGTGGTTGTCCCTTTGGATTACCAACATTTAGCAGCTGGACTTGTCAGTCTTCAACTTTAGGAAAACTTCCTTCCAGGTATTCTGCATTTATTTCTTTTTCCCTTCTCATTCATACATTGCACTTTCTCAAAATGAACACTATGCTAAATACACCTTGTTCTTGGTATGTTGCTTTGCATAAACTGTGAAGGTAAAGATTAAGAATCAACACAATTACAGTTTTTGGGGAATAAATGAGATACTGCCATTAAATACTGCAAAAAGCAAATTGTGGTTAGGTAAGAGTAAAAGGAATTCAAGGTGGGCTGGGCTTAGATCTCTTGTGGATGTGAAAGGACTCATGGCTGATTATGCATTTAACCCTTCCCTTGGGCTCAGCCTGTCATCTCCTACTGTAATATCGTATTTCCATATTGTTCTTGCAGCCTGTCATTTTTAAATCCACTTTCAGAGCAGTCTCAGCCATATCTGGGAAAGCTTGTTCCTTTTCCATAACATCTTTTAAATATAGTCTAGAAGTATAGACCCAAACCAAAAGTAGGTTGATCATCTCTTATGTAAAGCTATCTAAATATTAAAATTAATATCTTGCATAAAACCTGGAAAAAGATGCCAACCCATGCAAACCTTTCAATACCAGAATAATACGAACATATATAAAACCCAGATGGACAACAAGAAAAGATCTTCAACAGTCTTACAATCAGCACCTTACAGTATTCTAAATATGTTCTAAACAAGGAGAAACCACTGTTGTAAATCAGTTTCTCAAAGTGTTCAGTTAGCACACCACGCAGCTTCTGCAAATGTAATCTTTGCCATTCTTGTCTCTGGAACCAAGGGTCAAGCATATTTGTAGAAAGCTGAATAAACAAGTTTAATGACCAAGTATAGGCCTGAAATACACCCTGCATTCCAAACTTTTCTTCCTCTAAACAACTGACTATAAGTGTCAAGGATCAAATACTCTATCTTTTCCTTTGCAATTTTTGAACTAGCTTAAGGCAAGACATTATGAAATGCTAACATATTCAAACCTGAGTAAGCCAATATAGTTTGTATTAAATCTACATACATGACCGAATTCTGCTTCCAAGCATAATCCATTGTCATTTTTATAAAATCAACATGATAGTAAAACAACTACTTTGGGCTGGCATTCCCAGCCATTCAAATTCTCTGATGTTTTCAGTTTTACTCTAGACCAGGGATGTCAAACTTGATTTCACTGAGAGCTGCATCAGGGTTGTGTTTGATGTTGGGGGGGGGGCAGAATGGGCATGGCCAGCTTGACATCACTCATGTCGGGGGCATCTGTACTGCCCCGAGTGCTCTGCCAGCGAAAACGGGCTCACAAACTCCATTTTCAGCTGCGATGGCCTCCTGCCACCCTCTGCCAGAGAAAATGGCTGCACCCCCCCACACACACACTCTGTTTTCGCTGGCAGAGGGTGGCAGGAGGCCATCGCACCTGAAAATAGAGCCTTCAAGGACCATGTGGGGCTCTCCTGAGCTTCGTTTTTGCTGGCAGACGCACCGTGGGCTGGTCCTTTGCTATTTCTAGGGTGGCCCCACAAGCCAGATCTAAGCATCTCGCCAGCCAATCTGGCTTGCAGGCCTTGAGTTTGACACCCCTGCTCTAGACTTACCATCTCAGATATTTTTTCTCAGAAGCTATATGACTTAGTAAAGCAACCTAATGGTCAATGCTCTCTACTGAAATAATACATTTTTTTAAAAAAATGCTGCGGTTAATCTGTCTTAGTGTGAACTACACTCTGCATAGATTTCTATGAAATGCCACCTTCTCTTCTAATTGTGCTACTTAGATCTTTTTCCCAATTAATCAAATAATTTCTATTTCAATGCCAAAGTAAATAATAGCATTGGATTTTGGGGTATTCCCCCCCAAAAAAAATTAAGAACAAAAAGTCTATCTAACACCCAGTCTCTTTAGCAGCAGAAATAGACAGCATCCTCCAAGTATATCATCAAATTTGGCTTTTCATATACTCCAAATGGTAGATTATAATTAGCTTGAGTATTTTTATTGTTCTTGAAACTTAGCTCAGTCAGTATTTTCTTAATGACTTTTTTTTACTGTGTTAAGAATGAAAAATTATGGATTTGTATATGTAGAATCATCTTTCTGGTGGGTTGAAAAAAATATTAATCAAAGAAATGTAATTATTTGGTGCCATTAAGTCAAAGGGACCTGCAGTTTCCTTGGCAAGGCTTTTTGGAAGTAGCTTGCCACTGCCTTCTCCCTAAGGCTGAGAGAAAGTCAGTGACTCTCAGTTGGCATTGTTTAAGGTGGAAATAGGACTCATGGTCTCTTGGTTTCTAGCCTGATGCCTTAATCACTGCACAAAACTGGCTCTCAAATTTACCATGAAATCTACCAAATTTATCAGAAATTTACCACGGTGGGAAAAACTCAGTGGTGGGATGCTGCTGGTGTAACAACTGGTTCAGTGATCGCATGCCTCAGTTTGTTTGTTTGTTTTTTCTTATTCTTTTGGGGGAAAACAGTTCTTTGTTATTCCTAAAAATCACTGGGTTACTGCCATCCATTATTTCTATATTCTCAAAAGGCCTTTAGAATATATGTAGGCCTCAGAAACATTCTAATGTTTCTGGGCCGTCCATATAGACAGGAAACCATGGAGCTTCAGCTGTTATGAAATGAGGTGCCACAATTGCACTAGTGCCAATTGGCACCATATAACTATTTTAGAGTCCAATATATGAAGACACACCAATAAAGACATACACGCATGGTTAGTAGTAAAAGTATTAATATTAAACTAAATGCTAACTTGTGACAGAAAATACACCTCTGAAAATGCACAAATTCACATAAAAGGAGATCATACCAGAGCTCAAGAATATTTAGTAACAGCTAATGCTCTGGAGGTTTTCTGCATAGCAATACTGATCTTAACTCTGCTTCCTCAAAGAATTATACAATAGAAGTTCTGGCTGCTTTTCTCTCTTTTCCTCTTCATACAAACAGACTCAGATCACACCTTTCCTCTATATCCCTGACTTCCTGAACAATTAAGTTACCCCGCAGAAGAATTGAAAAGGCTTGTAGCTTTCTAACAAAATACGCAAGCACTTTCTTCCCGTAATATATGATTTCAGGAGTTGAACGCTTTGACCTTTTCAATTTCCTGCTTCTAGAGATTAAGTGGGAATTCAGATATACTTCTTGTTTCTGAGTGTTCTGAAGTAATCCAACAGAAACTTAGAAAGACAAAGCAACCAATGAAAAGTCTAAGTTCCCAATGATAGCAAAAATAAAACTAAACACCAATGTCATTATGTATCATTTGGATGAAGCTTTTGGTAAATAAAGTCACAGAAATAATGCCCAGTACATTTCCCATAATATACACAGTCTTGCTAAGGTTTTCAATAAACACTGGTATTGTAAATCATCTCTGGAATATTAGAACTATGTAAGGAAGCAAGGTCAACAAGCTAGGTACATAACGTACAGAATCATAATCCATCACATTCCCGTTGCTACACAATGCCCGTGTAAGGCTTTCCAGAGTGAAGGCTTGTAGAAAAAGCACTAAACACATTGGTAGCAACTGGCCAAATAAGAACAGCATCTAGTTGATTTCATATAATGTACTGCCCTTACATAAAGCTGTTAATATGTCTTTTTCAAATGTTAGATAAATATTAAAATTGTAACAACACAACACTTCAAACAGCTCTCTGACCAGATGCTATTTGGAATCCCGAAAGTAGAGAACGCTATAAAAATTTTCTGGCATCATGTTTGCATCATCCCTTACAAAGACCAGTAAAAACTGAACCCAAAAATTTTAACAGCACTAGTGATTAGATGGATACCAAAGATTTTCAACAGATTCATTTATCTTAACAAAGTAACATGAAAATTTAAGTACAAACAATATTTCTATATACTTAATATATTTCTTTTTCATATATTTCTATACTCAAATTATCATGCTCTTGTCCTAGAGATTATCTCATTTTGTATTACTGGAAAAATATATACATTGCATTGACATGGACACTATTAATTATAGGTTTTAATTTTGGATCGTGTTCTGTTACATAAAGGGGAAGGGCAATGAATCACCATTAATTTCATCTGGAAGTCAGAAACCATAACCAACAGAACCACATAAAAGCAATCTATGTATAATTGGAAATTCAATGCATTCTATCATTCAAATGGCATAAAAGCTTTTTCCCCCTCTTAAACTTGCTCAAATTAAAAAGTTGTGGATATGTTTCCTCTGTAATGACTTCTCTTCCTGTACATACATAATGAATAACGTTGAACATTAGTGAGCCATTCACAGAAAATCCTCCTACTTTCCAAGACTATAGTTTTCCAGTTTAAAACAACTAACACATAAAATATGTACCACCGTTATGCTGTGGTAGAGAAGATGACTCTCAATTTCCATCCGAGCATAGCTGGAGACTTAAGTTATGTGACTGATGGGATGTCTGAATATTTAGAAATCATTTTTCTAGAAATATGTTCCTTCCAATGACTACCTACCAACTTCCAATTGGGCCTTAGGCAGTACTGTGCCCTGATCAATAAGGAAGTATGCTTTATTATTAAATTCCACAATCATGGCAAATGATCATTTAATCCCACGCCCATCCAACATTTCTCACTGAATCCCATGCCAACGCCGAAGGCGAGCCCCGGAAAATGGGGCAGTTAAACAAACCAGGCTTAAGTTGGTTTGGGATTCATTTGCTTATCTTTACGTGTCCCCAGAGCCTCTTTTTGGTTTCAAATCAAACGCTTGGAGACAATGAGGCGCAAGAGGCATGAAGTCCAACATTGCGACGCCCCCTTTTAAAGTGACTTAGGCGGGAAGCCACCGGCAGCGACGCCTCCCGCCGCCACCCCGAAGCCCCAACCTCTCTCTCTCTAACGGAACCCGGCTTCATCGCGTCAGCGGACGAAGGGAAGCCCTTCCCTTCCGCAGCTCTCGCGGCTAGAGTGCATCGGCGGAGCAAGGCCGGCAGCCAACCAGCCTTTGCCTTGGTGTCCCGCCACTCCCCTTCAGGACTCTTGTCACGTTTACGCTCCGGCCGGGACCTGGCCTGATCCTCCTCCTCCTCCTCCTCCTGCCTGACGCTTCCGCTTCCTTCCGCCATGGCTCCTCTCCACGCCAGCCATTCAATGTGGGGCTGAGAGGAGCCGCGGCGAACCGCCCACAAGCAAGCCAAGCGCGCCGCTGGGCCGCGAGCCAAGCGCCTCCGTGGCTTGTTGGCGGCCGGCCGCATTGCCCGCCCCGGAGCGGTCGTTGCTGAGTCTTCGAGGCTGATCGCTGGGCCGGGCCGCCGGCTCCCGCAGGCAGAGAAGAGAAGAGGAGGAGGAGGCGTCCTTTTGGCTGATCCCGGGCTGCCCACCGCCGAAGCCACGATGAAGCTGGTGCGGAAGGACATCGAGAAGGATAACGCCGGGCAAGTGACGCTCATTCCCGAGGACCCCGAGGATATATGGCACGCCTACAACCTGCTGCAGGTGGGCGACAGCCTGCGGGCCTCCACCATCCGAAAGGTGCAGACGGAATCGTCCACAGGCAGCGTGGGCAGCAACCGCATCCGCACCACGCTCACCCTCTGCGTGGAGACCATGGACTTCGACTCGCAGGCCTGCCAGCTGCGCGTCAAAGGCACCAACATCCAGGAGAACGAGTACGTCAAGATGGGCGCCTACCACACCATCGAGCTGGAACCCAATCGGCAGTTCACGCTGGCCAAGAAGCAGTGGGACAGCGTGGTGTTGGAGCGGATCGAGCAAGCCTGCGACCCGGCCTGGAGCGCCGACCTGGCCGCCGTGGTGATGCAGGAAGGGCTGGCCCACGTCTGCCTCGTCACCCCCAGTATGACGCTGACCCGGGCCAAGATCGAGGTGAACATCCCTCGAAAACGCCGGGGCAACTGCTCCCAGCACGACCGGGCCCTGGAGAGGTTCTACGAGCAAGTGATGCAGGCCATTCAGCGACACCTTAACTTTGAAGTGGTCAAGTGTGTCCTGGTGGCCAGTCCGGGTTTCGTGAGAGAGCAGTTCTGCGACTACATGTTCCAGCAGGCTGTCAAGACGGACAACAAGTTGTTGCTGGAGAATCGCTCCAAATTCTTACAGGTAATTTAGATGTTAAGGTGCTTCATACCATCAGCTTAATTGATCTTGGACTAGAAGAAGTTGGACTAGAAGACCTCCAAGGTCCCTTCCAACTCTTATTCTATTCTAAGATCTTTAGCCGTGGAATTGTGTGGTATATAGAAATGGGAGATGTAAAAATACCTAACTATATAATTAAACAAAAATAATGTAATTTCCTAATTCATTTTTAATGACATGTAAAGTACTAAAATTTGGACCATCTAAATCTGCCCATAATTTACCTATGAAGTAAAAAAAAACTATAGGATGGAAGGCCCTATAAATAATGGTGCAGTCAGGTTTAAGAAATCCATCTATGAGAGGCCTACCTGTGTTTATTTCTGGGTTTTGTTTTGTTTTTTTTACTGAAAGGGAGAGTTTCTGTTTCTCCTAGGTCATAATCCCCAATCTTTCAACATAGATTTATGAAAAGAATGGACTGATATTTAAGATAACTAAAATAATTTTAAAATGAAGCCTAATATGTATGAAAGTCTGTAGAGATTCTCAGTCATCCAGGTCATGGTTGTTCCAAAGGTGCTTTTTCAGGAGGCAACTGGACTTTCTTGTTTTTTCTTTGAAGACATTTCGCTTCTCATCCAAGAAGCTTATTCAGCTCTATCCTGTCAGATCCTGCCACTATCCTGTCAAAGTTGAAGAAGCTTCTTGGATGAGAAGCGAAACGTCTTCAAAGAAAAAACAAGAAAGTCCAGTTGCCTCCTGAAAAAGCACCTTTGGGACCTAATATGTATGTTTACTTAAATGTGTTTGCTCTGATTTAAACTATACAATGTACGGGTGGTCCTCAACTTATGACTACAATTGAGCCCCAAATTTGTGTTGCTAAATTTGTTAAGTGAGTTTTGCCCCATTTTACAATTTTTCTTGCCACAATTGTTGAGTGAATCCTTTCAGTTGTTAAGATAGTAACATGGTGGTTAAATGGAACCTCGTTTCCCCACTGACTTCGCTTGTCAGAAGGTTGCAAAAGCTGATCACATGATCCCAGGACACTAAACCGCCATAAATATGAACCAGTTACCAAGCATCTGAATTTTGATTACATGACCATAGAGATGCTGCAATAGTTGTAAGTGTGAAAAATGATCATAAGTCACTTTTTCAGTCCGGTTATAACTTTGAGCGGTACTAAATGTACTGTTTTAAGTCGAGGATTAGCTGTACATGCAATCTTAGCTCCTTTATAGATGTCCTTTTCTATTTTTCTGCTTGAAACTTTTTCTCAAGATAAGCTGTTTAATGAGAGCATGATTCATTGTTCTAGTTTATTATAAAGCAAATAAAAACTGGTTGCCTATGAAGGGATATGAAAAGTATACCTATCAAGTTCAACTAGACATATTTCCCAGTAAATATACCTACTACAATACTCCTGGCTGACAAATCCGAATGGGGCATTGTATTTTTTTAGCAATTGAATAGACAGGTAGTTCTTGATGTACAACTATTCCTTTAGTGACTGTTTGAAGTTACAACAGCAATGAAAAACTTACGACCATTTTTCACACTTAAAACCATTACAGCATCCTTATGATCACATGATCAAAATTCGGATAGTTGACAACTGGCATGTATTTATGATGGTTGAAATGTCCTGTTGGCATGTGATCACCTTTTACAGCCTTCTGATAACCAAAATCAATGGGGAAGCCAGATTCACTTAACCATGTTATTAACTTAAGTGCAGTGATTCATTTAAGAAGAAAGATCACAAAAATAGTGCAAAACTCAACAGCTGCCTTACTTAGCAACGGCAATTTTGGGCTCAATTGTGGTTGTAAGCTGAGGACTACCTGGATTGTCTTTTTGAGTGATGAGAAGAGGTTTTTCTTCAGCTTGATAATTTTTCCCCAGATGAGAAAAACATATAGGAATGTTTTCCATGTGCTTTAAAAACCTTTACAGGTAGTCTTCAATTTAGAACCACAGTCGGCACCAAAATTTTCCATTGCTAAGAACACAGTTTTTAAGTGAGTCATGAACAGTTTTATGACCTTTTTTGCCACAGTTGTTAAGCAAATCACTGCAAATTATTAAGTGAATCTGATTTCCTCCATTGACTTTGCTTGTTGGAAGCTGGCTGGGAAAGTTGCAGATGATGATCACATGGCCCCAATGCTATAACCATTGTAAATACATGCCAGTTGCCAAACACCCAAATTTTGATCATGTGCCCATCGGGGATAGCAATAGCAATAGCTCTTAGACTTATATACTGCTTTATAGTACTTTACAGCCCTCTCTAAGCGGTTTACAGAGTCAGCATATTGCCCCCAACAATCTGGGTCCTCATTTTACTCACCTTGGAAGGAAGGGTCAACTTTGAGCTGGTGAGATTTGAACTGCCAAATTGTAGGCAGTTGGCTGCAGAAGTAGCTTGCAATACTGCACTCTAACCACTGCACCACAGAAGCTCCTTCAAGGAGCCACAGGTATCCTATGATAGTCGTAAGTGCAAGGATTGATAATAAGTCACTTTTTTTAGTGCTATTGTAACTTTGAATGATTACTAAATGATTGGTTGTAAGTCAACTTTTTCTTGGAAATTCCGTTTCCAAAAGAAACTGATCAGTATCATAGTAGATAATACATGTTTTCTGTTATTTTTCATACTCTAGGTGCATTCATCATCTGGACATAAATACGCCCTGAAAGAAGCTCTTTGTGATCCAGCTGTGACTAGTCGACTTGCTGATACCAAAGCAGCTGCTGAAGTCAAAGCTTTAGATGATTTCTACAAAATGCTACAACATGAGCCCGATCGGGCTTTTTATGGTCTCAAACATGTGGAAAAGGCTAATGAAGCTATGGCTATTGATACTCTGTTGATCAGCGATGAACTTTTTAGGCATCAGGATGTAGCTACTCGTAGTCGATATGTCCGGCTCGTAGATAGTGTGCGTGAGAATATGGGCACAGTTCGCATCTTCTCTAGCCTTCATGTATCTGGGGAACAGCTTGGACAACTGACAGGTGTAGCTGCTATTCTGCGTTTCCCTGTTGCAGAACTTTCTGACCAGGAGGATGAATCTAGTTCTGAAGACGATTGATGATGGAGAATAATTTCACCCTTCTTATCTTATTGTATAATGAGACCACTTCCATTATAATATTTGTCCCCAATAGTAAAAACCAAACAAAACAAAAAATAGAGAATATTTTTAAAACAACTAAGTTGTCATTTTGTGAACTTGATATTTATGCATTTGTGTTGCTGTGGTGATAGTGCTAACGGATTTCCCCTAGGAAAACAGGGGTGACCTAATTGGCAAACAATTCTGGTGCTTTGTTGAACATGCACAAACAATAAACTTATCAGGCAAGAAGAATAATGTGTTTTTTTCTGTATCTTAGAGAAAAACAATAGTATTGCTAACTTTTCCTTAACCTTTTGCCCTCAAAAACTAAGTTGAAAGGAGGAAATATGTAATCAGTAGGAATAGTCAGAAAGCATGTGGCAAGTTTAAATCTGTCATAATTTTAATTCTGAAAGTTACTATCAGACTACTGTACTTACTTAAGTACAGTACATCTGTTACTGTACTTATATCAGATGTTTCCATTTTAGCAATTGACTATTAAAACATTGTCTTTTATCTATATATATAAAAGCGAAATACCACTCACACATCATCACAAAATCTCCAGAACTGTAAAGCCTACAAATTGTTCCCCTTGGCTTCTAGGTGCTCACTAAGAAAGGATTTTTTGAAATGACCATTGGAGCATTTGTATTTTGTATATTATTATTAACACGCTCTGATGCTAAGGAGAGTTCTACTCCCTCTCCCCATCTGAAAAGAAATCTTTTCCAAATGCAAAACACAAGCAGAGGATAGGAGTTTCAGTTTCAATTTCACAGCAGCAACTCGCTTTAGTACAGAATAGTTGAGCTAAGCCACGCCCAGGCTCCTTGCTGTCTTCTTGCACACAGCAAATACAAAGTTTCCATGTTTCAATTTCCAAACAGCCCTCAATACTCACACACACTAACAGGACGCTAGCTAGATGAATATCGATGGATGCTGGTAGGCAGAGGCACATTTTTTTTCCTTATTTTCCTCCCCCAAAACTAAGCCCGATCACATAGTTTCATAGCAAAGCACGGGAATAGAGCTAGTTATAAATGAAATTTTAAATTCGTGGCTTTAAATAAAACTTTATTGACATAACTAATGGGCTAAAAGATCACATAAGATCTAACTATATTGTATTACTAAATAACTGAATGTAAGCTATTTTTAAGAGTTGAGAGGAGATCCAATTGCAGTGAAAACATTTGTTAACTGCTTTGGCAAACCTAACCAACCAGTTCAGTTCCAGTTAACATGCTTAACATAAACACTATGCCTGATTATTTATATTTTTCCTTACACAATGAGGCTTGTGCTATGAGGGATTTACATATTCAACCCACAGAACTGCTGTGGATTAGTTAACTTCTAAGAGAGAATATATTTTGTTTCTGATAGAATAAAACTAAGGAAATGGAATTCTCAGTCTTTGGGAAACAGAAACATCTAGAATCAGTCAGAAATAGAACTTTTCTCTATTGTGCCTTTCTCTACACACTCACACACTGTGATCACCAGGGCAAACCATCCAGATGCAGCTCCTAAGGTCCCCTTGATTACGCTTGGATAGTGTATAGCACAGGTGTCAAACTCGATCGCGTCATGTGATGTATCACGATGTTTTTCGCCTTTCCGGGGTGGGCATGGCTTGCACATGAGGCATCCAGCCCACAGGCACCCAGTTTGACAGGCCTGGTGTATAGTAAGGCAAGCATGTATTGTGCACTTCCCCAAAAGTTTTTTTTAAAAATCTGCCTATGTATATCAGTAGTGGTTTCTCCCAAATGTTAAGTGTGTGCCTCAGTCACCAAAAGATTATCCATTTCTGTTGTAGTTAAGGGCTCAATTTATATTTCCTAAGAATTGAAATGGGGATGCCTTACTCTGTCTGTTGTGGTTCAGGTTTTCCTGGAATTTCCTGTGAATAGAAGAGGAACCCTATTTGGTGAGAAGAATACAAGAACTATTGGGAAGGGAAGGAAGGAACAGGTGTAGGTGAAAATGGGTGTCTGAAGATTTCCCTGTATCCTCTTGTATGACAGGGACTGCCTACCTGGTGAATTTAACTTTTTCTGTAATGCATATCAACACTTCTCTCTTTTCTTTCCATCCTTGGCCAGTTATTTCTTTCCATGGTCTCATCACCATCCAGATTTGCCCTTCTCTTTCTCTTTTCATACTTTCCCAGGGCAGCTATCTTTTTACCTTGCTTATCCCATTTCCTGATTATCTTTTTTTGTTTCTTGTCATTTCTATGAGAAAGTGAGGAAGTTGCAATTCTTAACTTTTGATATATTTTTAATTACGCTATTAATTCAATTCATATGAATTTATTCTTGTCCTCATCCCACCTTTTAAAGGACATGCAGCTTCTTTAAGGTATCTATTACACACATGCATATATAAATGTATCATGGGTGCACATGTATTGCAGAGGGGAGAGGAATACTCCGAATTGGTTTCAATTGGAGTTGGGAAACAGGTTGAAAGGACGGAAATTGGGATTATACATTTTGTCATATGCATATGTGCATGTGTATACATATACATACACCCATTCACAAGATAACTATTTTGGGAGAGGATAGTATTTCAAATTTAGAGTTGTCTACCTTTTGGCTAAATATAGTAAATAGGTGTTGGAAATTCATTACACATTCCATCTATAAGAAATTGTAAGGCAAATTTTGTTTCAACAGATAGAATGAGTAAACACACATGTACACATGCAGATAAAAAAGAAAGCATATTGACCTTACTTTGCTATGTTATTTAGAGTCAGATCAACCCCCAGTTAAAACAAGTCATAACAACATGATCAAATTGTGGTCTACCATATTACATTGCCTTGGGTTGCATAACAAGTTCCATGTTTCTGCACCAGAGTTTTCTCCCAGATTCTTCAAGCTTAATCCACTTGGAAAGAGAAATTTGACTTATTTGTCCATTTAAATGCAGTCTGAATAAATTACTTTTAATGTATATGTTACTGTGAAGGGAGCAGTCTACTATTACATCTAAGGAAATATTGATTGTGTGACTTAAACCTTTTGCAAAATATTTAATTGTTTTACTTGTTGCTTACATTTAATAGAACTGTATTTTTAATGTATTTATTATTTATGAGTAATAGTTGAAAATGTCAGTTTCTTCTTTTGCAAAGGTTAAAGATGTAGAAGAGAAGTTAAACAAAAGTTCTTTTATGGTTTATCAGAATAAAAGGGCATGTTTGAATTCTTCACTGATAAATAGAAAGCTTTGTGTAAGGTTTTATCAGAAATACTGATTTTTAGCCAAGTGTGAAATTAATAGAAATATACATTCTGATGTGGCCTTTAAATAGTCCAAATTAAAGTCGGCTAATAGGGCATGAGGAAAATTCCACAATGAATGCCAACAAGCATATTTGTCAGATGGCAAAGCATTCTAAACACACTAGCTTTATAATACAGAAATAGCCTGAGCAGCAAAAATCTGGAAGGAAGTCAGAAGCATTTGTTAGAAGATCATTGAAAACAAGATAAAGTTTTTTTCTAACTTAACTTTTACCAGAAGGCTTTAAACTATGGATGGTATTCAAATAACTGTTTGGTTCAAAGAGTGGAAGGGAAAATATTATTTACTATATATTTAATATTAATGTAAAAAAGATGGCCTTTATTAATTTTATTCATAGAATGTACACTAGCTATAAGATATACGCTAATGACATGATGCTGCTTTTCCTTCTATATTCATTGATTTGAACAATTCATTTAATCTGGCAAATATTTTAACTCCTCAGTCCCAGTTATCCTTACCATTAAGTATTAAGCATTAAGACTTGCTTAATTCCTGCACTCTATTTCCTGATTGCCTTACATCTGTGTTTTTCAAGCTCGTAACTTTTAAGATATGTGAACTTCAACTCCCAGAATTTCCAACCAACATGCTGAGGTCCATACATCTTAAAGTTGCCATGTTTGAAAAAGAGTACGACAGCATGCTTGGATCCAATGGGACCTGTGACAAAATGTTGCAATATTGAATGTTTATTCACCTTCTGGCCAACCCACAATGCCTTCTTTCTTTGCTTCATTGTCTTGTTTCCCACTTTTCAAAATTTCCCCCCCTCACTGTTTAGTTAAGAGTTTGGGCCCATGAGAATGCCAGTTTTACGGTGTGGTGTTTCCTGTTCACAGATAGTCCTTGACTTACAAACCACAATTGGAACCAGAATTTCCATTGCTAAGCCAGGTGATTGTTAAGTGGGTCAACGTCTAATTTTACAAAAAAAAAAAAATTGTCACAGGCAAATCATTGCAGTTAAGTGAATCATGCAGACATTATCCAGCTTCCTCCCATCAGAAGCCAGCTGGGAAAATTGCAAAGGGACACTGCAATCCTCATAAATGCATGCTGCTTTCCAAACACCTGCATTTTGATCACATGGTGGGATGCTCATTATAAGTGTGAGGACTGTTTATAAGTCACTGTTTTTCACTAATTTCAAATGGTTGCAAAATGAATGATTGTAAATCAACAACGACCTGTGTTTAAAATAGGCCTACCATAGGGGTGTCAAACTCACGGCCCACAGGCCGGATATGTCCCATGCTGGCCCCGCCCATGCCCCGTTTAGTGAAGGGGGGGGAAGTCACGATTCGTCATGTGACATCGCCGTGACAATGTGAGTTTGACACCCCTGGCCTACAATATCTGACTGTAAAAATTCAGAAGATAGCTAGAGGGCATCAGAGGTAATTTTTATCTCTCTCTTTGCTGCCCACTAGCAGTCGTCTAGACATTTGCAATCCAGATATATAGGTGCATTTTTTAAAAGGGGTTTGAATTGCTGCAAATCTTAGAAAACCCCTGGGTATTGTAAACCCTTTCTAGTCTGTTTACATGGTACTGTGGATATATCAAAATCTCTGATCATATTGGAAAGCGGGGAATAAAGCGGACATACACAGAAGAGACATCTCCACATTACTATAGTCTTCCATTTCATAGCAATTGTTTGTGTATACAAGTTTTGGATTATCCTTCCCTCTTGTAATAGGCTAGGCTGCCTATTAAAACTTCTCTGCATACTTTTCATAACAGCAACATCAAAAAAAGTGCTTCTTCTTTATCTTCTCTGACTATCCATTATTTCTTTTTTTAAAAAAAAAATATTTTACCTCAACGGTATTTGCTATTTTCTCATGAGTCCAAAGAATACTAATGGAAACGGCAAGTCTTTTCTTACATTTTTTTCAGCCTCTATTACTATAAAAGGCTCTGAACAATTTGATGAGGCACTCATAAAAGGCATGATGAATCCTAGCATCATTTAAACATCAACAATTTCTTACAATGTTTTATGTTCCTGAGCACATAATCCATAAGAAATGTCTTCACTGCCAAAGACATTGAAATGCACAAAAGATCACTGTGTTCTCTTTCTAACTGTCATAGGACTGAACACACTAGGGTTCCCCAGCACAGCCCTTTTTCTCTTAAGTGCCTGGGATTTAAAATCTAGCAGCCAGTTTGAAGTTGTCACATTTGCTATGCTACCCTATGTAGTGACCTGAAAGAGGGCATTCGTTGTACTAGAACCTGGTTTGTGGAATTCCTTCCCAGTTCATTTGTGGTTAGGACTGAAATTATAATTTTCAGCACCAAGTAAAACAATATCTGCTCATGTAAACTTTCAGCTTAAATTTGGGGTGCTTTCCTTTCTGTTTTGTTTTGCCATTAATGTTCTGCATCGTGGAACTTTATGATTTAAACATAGAGATGTTTTATTGTGAAATTATGAAAACATACATATCTTCTTTAAAAATGTAAAATTTATTTTAGTCTATTTGCAGCAATTTTAAATCAGTTGTCTTATTTTGAAATTATTTCTAACAATGAAAATATCAGACAAAATATTACTTAAAATAGATACCACAGTAAGATGGGCATGCAACCTTTTTCACACCATGGCTGAAAGATTTACATTCAGATAGCCTGCTACAGGTTGTCCTGTGTGAAGTGGGCAGGGCCATGGCAAAATAAAATAGAATAACAGAGTGGGAAGGGACTTTGGAGGTCTTCTAGTCCAATCTCCTGGTCCGGCAGGAAACCCTATACCATTTTACACAAATGGTTGTCCAATCACTTCTTACAAACTTCCAGTATTGGAGAATTCACAACTTCTGGAAGCAAGTTGTTTCACTGGTTAATTGTTCTAACTGTCAGGAAATTTCTTCTTGGTTCTAGATTGCTTCTCTCCTTGATTCGTTTCCATCCACTGCTTCTTGTCCCACCCTCAGGTGCTCTGGAGAATAGCTTGACTCCCTCTTCTTTGTGGCAACCCCTGAGATATTGGAACACTGCTATCATGTCACTCTAGTCGTTCTTTTCATTAAACTAAACTAAATTAAATAAACTAGATTAACTAAATTTAATGTATTAAACTAAATTAAATATTTATTAAACTAAATTAAATAACTGCATTTAATTTAAGAGAGTTACATGGCAATTTTTTTATTTTTAATAACTTCCCCTTGATATCACATTAAACATTATTTCAATAGAGGAAGACGTAGAGGAATACTCTGGGAGCTATACTCAGTACTTCCAAGAGTCACAGTGTACACTCCAAAATCTCAAAATATTCCAGGAATGACATTTAGAAAGCATAATAACATGGATGTTTCTAACACTCTGCTGAAATCCAACTTCCAATTTCTTTTTAAACATTTCTTCTGCAAAAGAGGTTTCATTCTTAAAATACTTTAATCCTTCTCTATTTCTATCATGTTTTGCATCTTCTCTGATTATGTGAATCTCTAGAGAGCCATGGGAAGATTGACATCCTTCCCTGGAAAGAAAATAATCCCTCTCCTCCACTACCAGAATTTTATCATGTTTTCTTCTCTTTGACAAAGCCATTTCTTCCCTATCACATTGACTGAATCTTAAGGGAGAAAATTATAAAAGAAACCTTTCACATAGCTCCAAAACTCTCCTTAGTGAAAACCAGTGCATCCTAGAAGAACGCCCACTTCAGGAATTTTGTTCATTATTTATTTGGTTGGTTGGTTGGCTGGCTGGCTGGCTGGCTGGCTGGCCGGCTGGCTGACTAACTGAACTTACTGGTTTTTGAAGCTAAGCAGAATTTGATCTGGTTAATATCTGAATAGGAGACACTCAGAGAATTCCAAGCCTGTAAGCTAAGATGGAAAGTAAACCCTAAGCTCAAAATAATAATAATAATCATCATCATCATCATACTGGAATATGACAAAGATAATCCACTTTCATGAAAACTGCCTAATTTCCTTGTAGTTGCCAAGAGCCAAGTTCAGTCTTCTGTTTTCCCTTATCAAAACATGTTGCCCTGTGTTGTGGTTAGCCGGCAGCAGGTGCGGATGGCTGAGGAGAGCGAGGACTCAGATGAGGGGCCAGGACCATTAGGGAGTGGACCTTCAGAGATTGTGGGGGCTGGCAGCAGCAATAAGGAGGTTCCCGAGGAGCCTGTGCCAAGTGCGTGTGAGCACAGGGCTGCTCTCAGGAAAGAGCAGCTGCAGCAGCACAGGCGACTCGGGAGTAAGGCTGCAAGGTAATGACCGCTCCTTCAAGAAGATAAAAGCCAGCTGTGAATCAGTTCTTTGCAGAAAACAAAGATGTTTTGAAACTTGAGCCTTGTGGACATTGCAGTATCTTAATTGATATTTGAAGACTCTTGTGTTGTAAAATATTTCTATTATCTCTTATTTTTGGCAGCCTCGCACAGTTCTGTGAGGCTCATGTTTATCAAAGTTAAGTAGTTTGCAGCAGCCTTTTAACCGGGGATTCGTAAGAATCATTAAAAGGTTTCTATTTCCTTTGATTCGTGTTTGTTTTAGTGGACAAGGTTTTGGGTCAGAACACCCTGGTATTTCTTTGCACCTAATGCAGAGTGAGCTGCACACCTATCAGGCACAATGCTGTGAAATATGGTATTAATTTTGGAACTTTGCTATCATATATAATGCGTAATCCTGGTGTTTGATCAGGTTTATTTATCCTACATTAAAACAAAATGTGTTTGATAGTAAATCAAACTAAATCGGCTGGGAAAAAGAAAAATAAGACTATGAGTCATCAACACAACCAAGTATATGATGTTTAGATAACAATAGAGCCTTTGGTGAGAGGTTACACTAAAGACAAAACAGTCTAACCTTTAGAAAACAATGCTTTTCCTTCATCATTGAATAGTGTAAGAATATGGTCTGTTCATGCTATTTCTTTCTGTTTCCTTTCCTTCAATCCCAGTTGGTGACAATATGACAACATGACAAATTATACTACAGCTGAGGAAAGATATGAATCTCATTTTGGCAATCATTAAAACATAAGCATTACTTGATCATATCCTTGGCCCATCTAGTCCAGCTGTCTGTTTTCACAGTGGCCAACTAACTGCACAAGGAAGCTCAGATGGCTTTCAGATCAAGTCCAATATTCCATCTTCTATATTCCATCTCAATAAAAATCTCATACTTTCTCCATTACACAGAACACAAAGATGCTGTTGTGACAACAGAATATTTGATTCCAAAAAAGCTTTAATATTTAACAGTCCACTTAAGTAGCAAATTTAACACACAACAGTCCAAGAAGAATGTATCTGTTATCAACGGACAATTAGAACTGCGGAAAAAACAATTGCTACCAACCTGCCTTCCATTGAGGACCTGTATACTGCACGAGTCGAAAAGAGGGTTGTGAAAATATCTACAGACCCTTCACATCCTGGACATAAATTGTTTAACTTCTGCCTTCAAAACAACGCTATAGGGCACTGCACACCAGATTAATTAGACACAAAGACAATTCTCCCCCAAATATCATCATTCTGCTAAACAACTAATTCCCACAATACCGTCAAATTATTTACCTGTTATTAGTATTCTTCTCATCCTTCCTAGTACCTATCTCTTCCCACTTATGACTATAACCATGCTGCTTGTATCTTTACAATTTACATTGTTTTATTTGTTTCCTAGTATGGTTTTATTGCTTATTAGTAACCTATGACTATCACTAAATGTTGTATCTTATGATTCTTGATGAATGTATTTTATTTTTTCTTGATGTACATTGAGAGCATATGCACCAAAGACAAATGCCTTGTGTGTCCAATCACACTGGGCCAATAAAGAATTCTATTCTAAAGAATTCTATTCTATTCATATACTGTCATGTGTTTTCCAGATCACTGTTGCTGAGAATGTATTTCAATTTCAAATTTCTGAGGGCCTTTAGGCAGCATGTAAACTTTATCATTGAGACCTGTTCAAGCTTTTCCATTCCTTCCTTTTTTCTTTTTTCTTTTACAAAAAATAGTTCTGCTGCATCTCTCTTTGTCATTCAACGTTGATGTGAAAGATACAATGACTTTTAGTGGTCCTGTGGAAGATATGTTTGGATACAGTGTGCAGCAATTTGAAAATGAAGAGGGAAAATGGTGAGATTATTATTTAGTTAATTATCTCTCCCTTCTATCCATTCCCATATCTTTATAACAGGAGTGTCAAACTTGCAGTGTCATGTTGTCATCATGTGACATATTGTGACTTTCCCACCGTTCACTAAACCAGGGGTGAGGGTGGCCAGTGCTGTCGCATCTGGCCCACGGCCCACGAGTTTAACACCCCTGCTCTATAACTTAATGATTTAAAATTTCACAGGTCATAATGAACACTTTGTGGTGTTTTTAGACAAAGAATAACTAATTAGAGAAGCTGCTCTAACTCCTATCTGCTATTATAAACACATTTTTATTCCATTAGTTTTTTTGCATACAACTTAAATAGTAAATTGGTACTAAAGTACCAAAGCAAATATTACTGTATGTACTGCATTGACTATATATATGTATATATATTATCATTCTGCAGGGTTCTTATTGGTTCCCCTTTGTCTGGTCAGCCCCAAAAGAAGACAGGTGATGTCTATAAATGCCCTGTAGGACAGGGTAATGGTTTGCCATGTGTAAAATTAAATCTGCCAGGTAAGAAAGTCAATGAAAGAAATTGAAAATTGACCTACCCTAACAAAATCAAGTTAGAAGCCAAAACATGTTTAAGTAAAAGACCAGAGATAACAAACATCATAATCAAAGGACACTCACTAAACAGGCTATGTGATAAAAAGAAATTAAAGTTATCTCTGCAAAGAGGAGGAGGTTGCTATAAGACAGTATTTCATATATATGGTACACAAATAGTTGTCAATTTACAAGCACAATTGGAACTGTATTTCTGATCATAAGTTGAGGCACACACATGACAGAACCTATTTTACAAGATTTCCATGACTATTGTTAAGCAAATCTGGAGTCATAACTCCAAATTCATTCTGCCAGCAAAAAATGCCAAAAACAGACAAAAAAAATCATAGCAAATCATGATCACGTGGCTGCAGGAAGCTGCTACCAGTTGTAGCCAATTGCCAAGCACTCAAAATGCAATTACGTGTCTAGGGTGTGTATAGCGTGACATGTTACAATGGCCAGAAGAGTTTTACAGGCCATGAACACTTGTTCAGGGCAGGTTGTAATTTCAGACACTCATTAAGTGCCTGGTCATAAGTCAAAGACCATCTGTAAATTCCAATATTCTCTTTCCACTCATTTCCCCTTTTTATATGGGTGTGCAATGGGTCTTTTAGCTATATTTGCTACATCTCAGAATCTTTTATGAAAGGCCCAGAAACTTCCTCCAATGTCAATTATATAGTTTTTACTAACAGAGGAACTAGTGTGAATTCTATTACACTGGCATTCCCATAACCTTTATTGCCCACTGAAATATTATGTATACAGCTGATAATTTACTGATCCAACAGTGGAGCTATACAGAAAATGAAAAGTTTATTTATTCCTGATTTTCAATTTTAAATGAATGCATATCTTCTACTGTCACCCTGTTGCTATTTTGACATTCTCTTTGAGGTTCAGGAAAACTATGTGTAGCATTATCCCAGACAAAGATTCTGGGATGAAAGCCAGGCATTTGACTTGTATTTCATAGTTTTAACCAAGAGGGAACAGGAAGAAAAAAGGAAAAGAAACCAAAAAGATCCATGTTTTACATACAAATTTGGTGTTTTGAACAGGCCACAATATGACTTAATGTCTTGTTTGCATGTATCCCCATATTTAACTTTATTTTTAATCTATCTATAGCTGACACTTCAATTCCTCAAGTAACAGAAGTAAAGGAGAATATGATTCTTGGGTCAACCTTAGTGACGAATCCCAAAGGAGGGTTTTTGGTGAGTAAATATCTCTTGAGGAAAATAAAAAACAATATGCATATTTACTATAACCAATACTATAATATTTACCATGAAAGCTTCCACATATAGAATATTTTCCCCATTTATAGAAGGAATATAGAACTTGCCCAGATATTGTTGGATTAAAGTTCCTATCACTCTTGAATATTAAACATGGTGATTTGGTCTGATAAGGTTGGAATCTAACTACTTTTGGGAAATTATACACAATAATGGAAAGCTATTTTCTATCCACATAAAGAAGGCAAAATCACAAAACTGCGTCTCACTTATTTTGACCATGTCATGCAGGGGAATTCACTGGAGAAAGCAATTATGTTTAGAAGTTTGCAGTAAAAAGAAACCAGACCGCCCAAAGAACAAGATGGCTGGATGTCATGTGCAGGGATGTCAAACTCAAGACCTGCAGGCTGGATCTGGCCCACGGGGTGCTTAAATCTGGCCCACAGGGCCGGCCTAGAAATAGCAAAGGACTGGCCCATGGTGCCTCTGGCAGCCAAAACGGGGCACAGGGGGACTGTGTGTGACCCCCTTTCCCCTTTTCAACCTGGACAGCCTCCTGCAGCACAGGGGCATGGGCGTGCAGTCCCCTGTGCCCCGTTTTGGCTGCAGAGCACTGCAGGAGCCTGTCCAGGCCAAAAATGTTTTTCTAATAGCAATTATAAGGTGCTAAGAAACGCTTGTCAGTGCTGAGATTTTTGGAAATATCATGAAGTCATTTGATGTGTGTGAATTCAGCAATCTTTCCCTTAGTTCTGCTGATAAAGGTACTTTTTTTAAGAAAATGCCTACTTTGAGATCTGTAATGGAGTTTTCACAGGATTTAAATGCTCTTATGTTAGTTTTGCTCTGAAGCCACATTCACTTAACAACCGTGTGACTAACTTAACCCGTGCAGTGATTCACTTAACAACTGTGGCAAGAAAGTTCGTAAAATGGGGGAAAACCCACTTAACAAATGTTTCACTTAACAACAGAAATTTTGGGCTCAGTTGTGGTCATAGGTCAAAGAGTTACCTGTATTGGAATGACCTAGGAACATGGGACACAATCTAGAATTACATATGCCTGTTTATTTTATAAACAACTTGAGTATTTATCAGATATACATTTATCAGATATATTCAGAGCAATAATTTTGTTACTATGGTAGAAAATAAATGCAGCTCAGGGTTGAATTGTTGGGTTCCTGGTATTCTCTAAACTTCCTTGTTTAATATCCAAATATAATAAGTTTGTACTGCACAGAATTCCAAAATTGGATCAGTTCTGTTGTGGTTGTGCCGTCATACTGCTGTTGCAATGTTTTATAGTTTTCACTTAGGATTTCAGTAAGCACATTTCTAACCATTGTGGATATCAAAGTAGCTACTATACAATATGGTGAATTATTTAAACATTAAGAAAATGATTATTTTTCTCTTTATTATAGGCATGTGGACCTCTTTATGCTTATAAATGTGGACATTCTTATTACACAACAGGCATTTGTTCCAATGTTAGCTCCAATTTTGAGGTTGTAAATTCCATTGCTCCACTGCGAGGTATGTATATATAAAAATGTTTTTGTATCTGTTGAACATAAGGTAGGACTTGAAAAAAATCTAATATATACCCAGAGTTATGTCAGAAATATAAACTAATTTTCAAGGTATGACCAAGTTAGGTAAATGTTATCTTTGTTTGTATATTACCTAAATGCTTACTGCTCCTGGAATTTATTTTTAGTATAAACAGGTTCATAGTATTAGTCATAAGTGAAAATCAGTCTAAAATAATCTTCAGGCCACCACACAAAGCTAAATGCCTGTTAAATTCAAGAAGACAAAATAATTGTCCTTGTATTGGTTTTTGTGAGACACAAGGCTCCATTCTTTCTGCTGATTCCTAGAAGCAGAAATGAAATTGTTTAATGGTATCAAAAAAATAGTTTCAAAAATACTTTTCGACGCCCTTCTTGGAGGATACGATTGCTACCCTACCATCTTCCTTCTTCTTCCTTTCTTTAAGTTGCTCCTTAGTTAAGGGCAATTACAATAAATGCCTCTTCCCTTTACTTTTAGTCTTCTTTTCTATTCAAGGCCACTGCAGTTGTTTCTTTTTTATATAGACAAGTGATACTATACAACCACCCCTACACATGGTAGTAATATAACTTCAGAGCCAGCAAACTATTCATGTAATTAGACTTCAAGAGTCCTAAATATTGGAGGTATCTGTGATTTCTTCAAGACAATCACTATAATGTGTGACAAGTTGTATGAAAAGTTTTTCTGTAATTATGCATTCTGAAATAGTTAAAATAGCAAAACAGACACTAAAGAAACCTTTGAAATACAATATATCTTAAGTAGAATGTTTGTATTGCAATCTTGATAAAACTATATATATTTTAAAATCACATTTAAACATAGTTATGAATAATTTTTAAAAAAATAAAATTGAAAGCACTCTGTATTCTTGAGATATTTCTTAATCTCCATGTAGTTTGGCAAAGGCCCAGTATTCATGAAATATCCATTAACCAAACCATACTCTCTTCTGTCCACAAAACTACTCTATGCCATGTCAGATCGCCACTGCAGAACATCTCAAGATGCTAGAAGCTTTTTAATCTGAAACCTTCTAGACTAGATCAATAGTTTCATCTCCTGCATTGATGAGTTAGCACCATCTAGTTCTAACAAGCTCTAGAACCATAGAACCAGTATACCAGAGCAAGCAATGAGTCCAACATTTGCTCCAGAGGCAAAATAAGCTGAGTTCCAGGCAGGGCAGAGAAAGAATGACTGGTCCAAAATAGCCCAGTGAATTCCATGATACCATAGAACAGTGATGTCAAACTCACGTCGTCACAGCAGCATCATGTCACGTATCAGGACTTTTTTCCCCTTCACTAAACTGGTTGTGGACATGGCCAGCGGGTGATGCATCTGGCCCACAGGCCGGGAGTTTAACAGCCCTGCCATAGAAGATGACCCTCCATTTCCCTTCACTAGGCAGAACTTCATTATGCACATTATCGAGAGGCACTGATTCAAATTATAGCAACTCAAAAACTTCGTCCTTCAACTTCTGCTTGGATGTGTTTCATTGTATAGGTCTCTAATGTATAAATGACACTAGAAAAATGGATAATAGTGCAATGGAAGTTAGAAACTCATAGCACTTCATCTTTCATCTTACATATAAATTGCATCTGAGATATTTCATATCTCTTATGGTTTACTTAGAAGTAATTTATTTTGAAATTAAAGCAGGGTGTCAATTTAACAGAAAAACCACTAGGTGCTTTGAACATTTCCTTATTTTATGTTTCCTTTTGCAGAATGCAAGTCCCAGCTGGATATTGTCTTCGTTCTTGATGGATCTAACAGTATTTTTGAATGGAAAGATGTCACCAATTTTTTGAAACGAATACTGCAAAATATGAGTATAGGCCCCCACGATACACAGGTACACTAAGGCAAATGTTTTATATTTTATTTTATTTGATTTGATCTATAGCATAGCTATACAATCAAGGATATCTGCAATAATGTATTTTTTTTCTAATTTATCAATCTAGGCAGTGGTTCTCTAATAGACAAGAAGTCTATTATAGTTTCTTACATATGTCAGTTAATGCATAAATATCAAATGGAACAGTTAAGGACACCATATCACCTGGAAAGAACTGTATTACAAATAATCAACTTTCAGAGTCAGATGTTCATCTCAGTCATCAACAGAAACTTTCCATAATCTCTTCACATGTTATGCAAAGCTAAGAAACATTTATAGTTCCAATGAAAAAGACCCGAATCCTATTGCAAATGAACAAAATCCCTCTTTGGGGGAGATGGGCAGTTTAGAAAAAATCCATATTTGTATAAAACACAGACATGGCAATGAAAGAACCATGTGTTAAATGCTATGTCCTTGGGGAAAATCATACTGGTTCTGCATTAGTGTACAGAGAAACTCCTCCTTACACTTATTTCATTGTTTTATATGTGGCCAGGTCAAAACTATAAAATGTTGAAATCATATTTGAAGTAATATATGCCATTACCTCAGTAGTGGGATTCAAATATTTTTGCCACCGGTTTGGTGGGCATGGCTTAGTGGGGGTGCTTTGCGTGTATGAACACACTTTGCGTGCATGCGCTCACCAAACACACACTTTGCACAGGCACAGAGGTGTTCTAACTCTCCTCCTGCAAGCCTGCATGATCCCAGTTGCTTCAGCAGCTGCCACGCAACATTATTCTGTGCTGCGTAAAGCAGCTGCACTTCAAATTCAGCAGATAAAAATGAGTATGGGAGCCTGGGCGGGTGGATGAGCCGAATAGCAAAGTGGCAGAGAGAAACGGTTCAGTCTCCGCTGCTCATTGCTGTACCGGCTTGCCAGAACCGGGCCGAACCAGTCGAATACCACCACTACATTACCTTCCTCCATAATTTTTCCCCCTACTGCCCAAATGCAGCTTCCAGACCTGCCATTTCCCAAAAGTTTTCTTTCAAAGTATGTATCAGAAGTAACTCTGCTAAGCATCCAAGATTCTTCCAGGTGCTTCTTCCATAAATTCTTCCAGATGCTGCCACCTGTTGAGACATTTTAATAGTTTCAAGAGTCTTTTCAAATTCCCAGTCCATAGGCTGATAGGCCCATAGTTTTGCTGGGTGGATGCTCTTTGTAGGCTTCCTATTCTTCTATTGTACTGACAGCTGCACTTTGTAGTATAAAAGTGGATAGAGAGACAATGGCACAACGATAATGTGGTTCTGCCTGTGGTTGCATGCAGTAGGAGTTGGGTGATTAAGAAGTATGTATGGTAAAAGCAGAAGAGATAAGATCAAGAATGAGTGGGTGATCAAAAGTATATCATCCTTTTGGATAAAATAAGTCTGTTGCCGTAACTTGATCATAAATACAGAGTGAATTAGGGCTAAGACATAAAATAACTATATGAGCTGAGAGGAAGACTGAGAAAGTTGCAGATGCCTATGAGATCTTAGCAACAGGGAGGTGAGAAGTTCAAAGAGCAAAAAAAAATGTATGAATCAGCATGGGGATGTACTAAAAGCAAAGATGGTTTGCAAGGATAGAAAAATATAGTGAATTGGGGAGTTGTAAACTAGACATAGTTATATTTCCTTTTGTTTTCTCCTGTCTCATAGCTTTGTTTCTTTGTATGTAGGTATTTTTACATAATATTGCTTACCTTGAAAGAAATAGCATGATGGGAATATAGGGTATGTGTATATGGGAGATAGGACATAGAGAAAGAAAATGTGGTTGAAGAACAATTGAAAGACTATACGGAAATATTTTCAAGTTAGGATTAGTATAGAATGACAAAAAACATTTGTATGGTTACCCAGAATTGTGTCTTAAGATGTCCAGCCATAGAAAACTTTTAAGTAAGTAAGTAACATAAATCAATTTATATAGAGAGAATGCATGTAGGAACTGACTCCACTTAAAAGTGATATATGAGAGAATAAACTATTTGTAGAAAAGTATCAGAGATGAACTGACTGAACTATTGAAAGCTTTCTGAAAAGAAACATCTAAAGTATGAACAGCTGTACATCAACAAATGTGAAACAACACCATGGGACATAGATTGAAAAATTGGTGTATCTTCACATACTTTCAAAATATTACACTCATTTCTTACATAAACAAAGGTTTGCTTAAGATCTTACAATGAAGAATGAAGCCATATATGGTCAGAAAAATGTCAAATGAGCAGAAAAGTTTTCAGAAAAGGCAGAGGAATATGTATGATGAGATAACTAACACAAAATTGTATTGGAGAGAGCATTTAAGGTTTTTAAGAGAGCAGGTCATGTTAGAACTATTGATGATTGTTTTGAAGAATTTTTACAATGAACAAAGTAAGGGCGGAATTAGGAGGAACAGAATAAACAGACAAGGATACACATTGTCCCCGTATCTGTTTAGCTTTTACAATGAATGTATTCAAGAATGCCACTTTCAGAATATATAACAACTGCAATCAAAATTGGAGGTCAAATCAGGAACAGTTTAAAATATGAAGACCACACCATTCTGTTAGACAAAGGTAAAAAGCCTTAGGAAAACTATAAATAGAAAGTTTAAAAAATGGATTAATCTCAAACATTAAGAAGAGAAAGATAAAATGAACCAGCAAGCTTTGTGAATTCACAGTTGAGTTGAAGTATAGGTGAAGTTTTGTCATTTTAGGATCCAGAATAGATAAAAGTAGACAATGTACTGGAGAAGTAAAAAGGGGAGGTTGATCCTTTGAAGGAAGGTAATTGTGTGTATAGATGACATAATGAAGACCAAGATTATTTCTGTGATAATAATGATTGGAATATTTAAAGCAATCATTTCCCTTGTGATAATGTATGGCTGTTAATGTTGGATATTGAGAAAGAGGAAGAGGCAGGAACACCCAAAGCAGTTTTTTAGCTTTAATAATAGTATGTGCAAACAATATTGAAACTTCACCCTTTTTTATGTGCTTGCAAAGCATGTGAGACATGTTTAAAAGAGGTGGGGCTTGATCACCTGGTCACATCCATCATTTGGTAGCCAATGATTATTTATGAATACTCTGAGAAATTAAATCTTCAAATTACCGAGTTGGAGAGGTTATTGGTAAGAATACCATGAATTGCAAGAGCAGACAATCAATCAATCAATCAATCAACACAATGTATAACATGAGTGGATATGATCATGGAAATGATATACCACATATCACAGTCACAGTTCTTGAATGGCATGCACTCAGACAAGCATGAAGTGCATTAAATAAATGCATTTTATTGGAATGTCCATGGAAGAAATGTAGACTGTCATCAAGGATTGGATTGCCATGCTATCCATTTTTGTAGTTGTAGGTTCAAAAACAGGAAAGCCATAACTTTGTTACAACTTTCCATCTGATAGAACTTTAGAATTTTCAAGAAGCTGACATGATCTTAGTTCTTTCTGTGTGAGTATGGGTGTGCTTGTCCTTGTTTCCAGTTCAACAGCTAAGAATAGGAACCCTACTTTGGGATGCCATCACTATAAAGCACATGTCCCTACAACCACCTGTCAGCACAAACATTTCAAGAGGAACATTATATGTTGTACAAGCGTGGGAGCAATCTATACAATCTACTCAGAACACAATCTTGTCAAATAGAAGATCAGTAGAATCAGATATACTAAATTGTATCTAGTAAGTTTAAGAACTGAAAACAGAAAGTTGCTGGAACAGACCCGAAGTCCATCCCAATTTCCATAATAATCAACTAGCACCAATTGCAGGAAATCGATAGACAAGGGAAAAGCAACCATGTTTTTCATTATTCTCAGCAATTGGAATTCAGGTGAAAATATATCATCAGAAATTTGAAGAACATTCCTTTTTTTGCTCATTTTTATAAATTCTTTGGCTTTTACTCATTACTGAAACTTTGTAAGTCATTTCTATATAATGTTTATAAGTGGTTTACAAAGTATCAAAAAATGAACAACCAAGATATAGTAAAATACACACTGGACTGGTAGAAAATAGACTCATAGAATTTCACTAATATTCACATCCCGTATTACACGGAATAACCTCCTTCCCAATTTAGGAGAAATATTTTAATAGTTTACATATAAGCATCTCAGTCTCCAAAAGTTTTGTAGAAAGGTCTGGTCTTAATCAGTTTCCTAACTCTTAATGACCCTTACATTCCTCAGTTTAATTGCATCAAAGACAGCCAGTAAACAAAGATGTTTGTAGTAAAAGGAATGAGCTATAAAACAGATTGAAAAGCACATCTGAAAGCTGAAAGATAGAATGATCCAGCTATAAAAGGCTATGACTAGATAGATTGTATTAATGTTCAGTCTTTTAATAGTATGAAAGTTTTAATAATGGATGAATAAGAGGTAAATATGCCAAGTCAGAGTATATTAGCACTCAATGGCTGGACTAAGCAGCATATTCAAAATATCAATGCAGAGCATACATTTAAAATATACTACTGGAACATTGCTTAACTCACATTTAGACCAGAACCTCTCATAAAATTAAGCAGATGAAAATGAAGAAATGGTATTTGGAAAAGACACTATTATTTTGTTACTTATCATCTTTCTTTTATAATGTAAATTGATTAACAATTATAAGAATCCACCTGTTGGCTGTTGCCCCCCAAAAGCAGTGATGCCTATAGACAGGAGGTACTCAAAAATCAATCTGACTATACAGTATTATTACTACAAAGTGGTAGAACAGCTTAATTATAACAGAAAAGATATTCAGGACCTGCTATGCAACAGATCATATCCAAGTTGCAGATCAAGCTGAAGTGAACTAAAAAGCCAACACATTTCCACAATATAATTTTGATTATTTTGATTTCCATCATTTTCAAGGAGAACATTAGGAATCACTTTAAAGTTCTGAACTTCATTGATGGAAAATCAGAGGAACCATAGAATGAAATCAAACACATTGTTAAAGTTGAGTGTGGAAAGAGACTGTCAAAACTAAGAAATAGAAGAAAGCACTGTGTCATTAATATGGAAGGCAATAGGAATTGAAGGACATTTACAGAGGAAGAATCGGTTGGAGGTCCAACCAAGCTATGCAGCAAATCTGTAAAATAGCCAATATATTGAAGGTATCTACCTATTGATATCAAAGAAAGAAGATTTAACAGAGTATGCAGCCTATTGTAGTTTCACTCATTAACAAAATAATTGTCCAATGCAGATTAGAGTCCTACATAGAAATGGTAGATGTTTCGGCTGCTTTAGAAAAGACTGAGCAACCTATATTAAATAATTTGAGAAAGCCATCAACGTGTGATTCATTGCTTTTGGAAAGACCTTCAATTGAATCGATTGATTTTAGCTGTGAAATATTCTGAAGAAAATGGGAATCCCAGAAGATCTTAAATGTTTATAGGTTTCATGTTCTCAGAATCCTGTACAAAGACAATAAGATACAGGTTGGATGGAACATGGTGAAACAGGCTAACTCCAAGTCTGCAAAGGAGTGAGAAGAAGGCTGTATGTGATCTATTTAGATGCTTCAGGTGGCAAGAAGAGTCAAGTCTGTGTAATTGAACTCTGTCCAACAGCCTAACACTTATTCTTAGTAAACACATTTCTGGTTTATCATACAAAAGAAAAACAGTGCAGGTGATCTTCTATCTTTAATGGAAAGGTAAATTCTTCACTTGCTGTCTTGTGAGTGATGGCATCATTGTGAAAATTTCATGACCATAAGATTTTGTATTCCAGGTTGGGATCGTTCAATATGGAGAAAATGTAACCCATGAATTTTATCTCAATGCATATTCAACCACAGAAGAAGTGCTTGTAGCAGCAAGCAAAATTCAACAGAGAAAAGGATTTGAGACCATGACAGCTCTTGGCATTGAAACAGCAAGGTAGGTGCCTACAGCCTTATAAACAAGTATCAGCCTACATTAAGGACTATGCTGGTCTTCCACTATGCCGTTTTTTATTTTTCCTACTGATTTTGATACTTACGTTTTGTCCTTCTCTCCAGTCTGAAGATTTACAGGTTTTCACTCTCGTTTTAGGAATGAAGCATTTACAGAAGCTCATGGGGCCCGCCCAGGAGTACAAAAAGTCATGGTAGTTGTGACTGATGGAGAATCTCATGACAATTACAGATTACAAAAAGTGATTGAGGATTGTGAAGAAGACAATATACAGAGATTTTCTATTGCTGTAAGTTATGTTTAGTAAAAAAAAACAACCTGTACTTTATATCTAGAAATGATTCTTCCCCTTTCCTTCAATTTGCCTTGAAGAAAGAATTGTTTGTTTGATAAGTTAGTACTCTTCCAATATTAGCTACATGCTATTTTTTTATTCATTACTCATTGGGTCTATATTTTTCTTTAAAGTACATGTTGACTCTAGTAATGGTGTAATAGTTCTTCCATATCTCTTTGACTACTGAGGATAAACAATGGAAAATTGTTGCCGCAAGATCACCCAGGTCATTGTTTCACACAATTAATTTTTAATTAGATGTACATCCCACTTTTTCTATACAATAGTAGCTCAAGATGTGTGTGTGTGTGTGTGTGTGTGTGTATCTTGAATATAGTGTGGGCATTCTCCTACTTTCTTCTCTGAGAAGTTGGGCTAAGAGAAAGCAACTGGCCCAAAGTCATACTATGTATTTCCGTGGGTCAGGGTAGATTAGAATCTGAGTCTTCCCAGTCCAAAATCTTAATACTTGCTCATAAAAATAATACTTTTAGATTACTATGTTATAGCTACATATAATTGAGTCAATGTGTTTGTGGAATTGATTTTTCAAATATGGTGATATTCTACCAGACAATAATAATTCCATGTTTAATCTATATAGAACTTTTCATGTATTTTTATGTATTTTTTTTCATAATATGGATGATAGTCAACATACATAGACACTTCCAAAATCCACATTACTTATTTATGAAAATTTTGAGTTTATAATCTTAACACAAAGGCAGCAGATTAGGAAAGGTCATCCTAGATTGTTCTTATGGTGGGAAACTTCTGATTAACACATGCTTGGTCCAGTGGTGGGATTCAAAAATTTTACTACCGGTTCTGTGGGCGTGGCTTGGTGGGCGTGGCAGGGGAAGGATACTGTAAAATCTCCAGTCAGAAGTGGTATTTGCCGGTTCTCCAAACTATTCAAAATTTCTGCTACCGGTTCTCCAAAACTGGTCAGAACCAGCTGAATACCACCTCTGGCTTGGTCCATATCTGAATGCTGTTTGTCTGGGTTAACCATTACCATTGCATTTATTCTAGAGAGGGAAGTCTATGACAGACTTGTTGTCTGTGCCATTTTATATTTCTTACACACTACCAATTGTAAGCTACTAGTAACATGTATTTTTAAAATTGCTTCTTCATTTTTTCCCCACATGCCACAGATTCTTGGCTCCTATAACAGAGGGAAGCGAAACCCTGAGAAATTGATCGAGGAAATCAAATCCATTGCAAGCAAGCCAACTGAAAAGCATTTCTTTAATGTTTCAAATGAAGTAGCTCTCCTTACAATTGTTGAAGCTCTTGGAGAAAGAATATTTGCCTTGGAAGGTATGTTTCCCCCCCCCCTGCTTCTGGTGTTTTGTTGGTTTTATTAATGTATTGGATTTTTTGTTCGTTGTAAGCAAATAATAATTGCTGCATTAGGACCATTTATAGAATAATCCTAACTCAAAATCCATTGGTTAGAAGAGTTATGATTGGAGTGGAGAAGTACTTTATTACTGGATGTGTTGGGAAGTGTATTTTTGTGTTGGTAATTTTAATTTGCAGCAGCTGTGCACTGTGTGGAATTAGCAAGTTGGCAAAAAAATAAATGATTCTCCTTTTCTCCCAAAATTACAACCTGAAAGTAAGGTCTTGTAGTGAGCCAATGCTAGTCTTCTAGATCAGGGGTCTCCAACCTTGGCCACTTTAAGACTTGTGGATTTTAACTCCCAGAATTCCCCAGCCAGAAAAGCTAGCTGAGGAATTCTGGGAATTAAAGCCCACAAGTCTTAAAGTGGCCAAGGTTGGAGACCCTTGTTCTAGATCACAAATGGATTTTTACCTGGGATGGTCCGTGACAACAGAAAGGGTGATGTTATGTGAGAAAGACCTTGAGAGAAGGGTTGAAGTGCTGCTGCCTGGGGAACAGTCAGATAAGAGAGACAACCCTCATTATAGAAAATGTGATGGGATTGCACAGGGAGGGTTTCTACTAACAGGAAGGATTGTTTAATCTTCTGTGTAAATTAATTTGCAGATTCAAGTCTTGAACTAGTTACTTCTTGTACAGTGTGTGGCTGAAGCATGGCTATTAAATCCTCTAGAGCCAGTGGTAGAATGCTGCCAGGTTCAGGCAAACCGATAGTTGCGATCACTGTCTGGGTCTGTCCACCCACCCCTGCACTATCCTTTTCATATATAACTAACTTTCTAGCTCATTTCCTCTGCCCACACTGCCCAGCTGAGTTCTGTGCCACGCCTGCTGTATTCACCAGAGCTGCCTGAATAGATTAGCTGCCTCTTTGAAGCTCCGTTTCAGCCCCAAAGCAGTGTATGCGTGCACTCACAACCAGCGAAACTGTTGTTAACATAAGTGCAGCCCACCTCTGTCTAGGGTTCACACAAATTTGGGGATTCTAGGAGTTGCAATCCTAATCAGGAAGGATGCTATGTTTGTTCTGACCCAAGCCTTGTTCAAATCAAACAAACACAAAGTATGTATAAAAGCTAACTTTTTTAATGTGGCTCTGTGAATTCTGTGCATTCACAGCCAAGAGTCATTCAAAACTAATTGTCCCAGATAAGTACAAGCCCTTTCAGGGTTGTGAAAGGCTGCCAAGAACAAAAGACCTAATTGCAGATAAATATCCAGAGCCAGAAGTTTCAAAAAACAAACCGGAGTAAGCAGAGCTTCAGCGAGAACTCTGAGCATAAAGAACTACTTTACTTCCTGCAAAGAAGCCAACCCAAAGGCTGGTTTTTATCCCTTACGGGAGGGGCCATCACCTTCCAGCCTTACTCCCGAGTCGCCCATGCTGCTTCAGCTGCTTTTTCCTTTGAGCAGCCCTGCACTGAGCACAGGCTCCCCAGGGTCCTCTTCATCACTGCTGCCAGACTCCACGACCTCCGAAGGCAGCACCCCACTCTCTGATAGTCCTGGCCCCATCCCTGCATCACATGCAGGTCCCTCATCCAAGTCCTTGCTCTCAGAGACCTCAACCGTCCTCACCTGCTGCCGGTGAACCACAACAATGTCCTTTATCTTAAGCTCTGTCCTCGTGCCTTCTCATTGAGAATCACCTGCCTTTCTAACCTCTAAGACGGTGGCATATATGAACCTGGATGATGTCCTTCCGTGCACTCAGTCCATTTTCCTTTCATGCTGCTCTGTGTCACAATTAGGGCCAACCTAATTAGGGCCAACCTAATTAGGGCCAAACTAATGTATATCTCAAATTCAAGTAAAAAAACATGTAACATAAATGCCCTTATCATACCAATTCATAGACGAGAATTGATGGACTGTACCTTCCTCTCTCCTTTTTTCTGGAATCAAAACTTTACAAAACTGAACTGATATCTTTTCATCTGAGATTCTGAATTTGCTGTCATTTAAATTGTGACATGTTCCATATTAGTCAATTTCCTACATTTGGTTGTTCTTAATCCCTTACAATCCCTAGCCATATCCTGTCCTTCATTTATAAACTATCTTGGCAGCAAGGAGATTGCTTCCGTTCTTCTCTGCAGTGCTTAATGCACTACTAACACTTTAAAATGTTAGGCAGCAATCCAAGTAATGTGTAAGTGATTATATTCCTCAGCAAGGAAAACATCTGTGTATACTTCCCATTTATACTTATGTCCATCTTTTCTGAATAATTAACTGAAGCTTCTTTAAGAATAACACAACCGTGTGTGCCAGGAAGACAATAAATATAAAACACGCTCATTAAAATATATGAATTGGCATTTTATTACTAATATTAGGTTATGAACCTTATTCAAATGGTACGGTTTTTATGAAAACCATCCTTCTACCTAGAGGCTTCCAATGTTGTAGTTTATCTCAATTAACAGATATATACAGCGTTGCTTCTGTTTTATGCAAAAGTAATCACTCTTTTGTTTGTAAACATGGTCTGCATTCCAAGGAAGTTATATATGCACAAAAGAGAAAACAACACATGTAGCCCCAGTTTTCCTTGCAATTTCTGTACTGTGTGAAGAGAAAAAAAAATGCATGTTTAAATAAACTGTGGCACGATTTTCAAAGCAGTATGAAATAATTACATGGGACTTTCTATAGACTTTGGAGGGGTTGTACTAGTGTTGCGTGATAATAGATGCCCGCTGAAACAGAGTCAGGGAGGGCTATACAAATCCAGTTTAAATTGAGTTTCATGACACCTCTTCCCATGCTACTGCTTTTCCAGATCTGGGGCAGAAGTGATGATGCAGCTAGGAGCAGCTGGGAGAGTGGCTTCCTCTAAGGAGCCACCTGGCAGGGATGATTCCTCAGACATGGAGGATGGCAGCACATCTGGCTGTTGGATAAGAGATGGCCAAACCCGTGGGTGGAGTGAAAAGAGGGAGCAGCCTAGAATCTCTATGTAGCCACAAGAGAACTAAGTCCAACCCCTCCCTTGAGCATCATTAACCCTTATCTACTCTAAGCAGATGCTGACCTTTCATTGAAAAGATTCGCCTACATAGGCTTTTGTTAATCAATCAGTTTTATTGAACCTTTACATGTAGACCTGGTCTTTCATGCCTGACACTGGCACACCTACTGGTTGTAGAGCACTCCACCTGTTCCAAATGTTGCACAATGGTTGCTTGTACATTTGCACTCTGTGTGTCAACTTTTTAATGATGCCGTAGCAATGTGTTGCTAGCTGCTTCAAAGAACTTTCTTCCTGCAGGTCTGTTGCCGTATATTTGCCTATTGACAGAAATCATGCCAGACTAAAGCAACTATTTGCATAACTGTCCCAAAGGTGCTTTTTCAAGAGGCAACTGGACTTTGCTTTTGAAGGAGTTTTGCTTCTCATCCAAAAAGGTTCTTCAGCTCGGCCTGGATGGGTGAAAAGAGAAATGTCTTCAAAGAAAAACCAGAAGGTCCAGTTGCCTCTTAAAAGAGCACCTTTGGGAAAACCATGACCTGGATGACTGAGAATCTCCATATGTATCTGCATAACTCTTAAATATACTCTGTGAATTACCAAGGAGGTTCCGCCTTTTCCTTTTTCCTGCATACCAAAGATTCCAAGTTTTGCTGTATTTTTGCTCTCTGAGAAACGGCCCTTCCTCCTGCTATTCCTCCTAGAGATATAATTATATGATATTTTTACACACACTGCATTTTTCACATTCCAGTAATTGAATTTAATTGGAATGCTTTGAAAGGAATGTTGAACCAAAGCACGAATCTACTCCTTGAGAATCTTAATTTCTAAAAGAAGCCAGAGGTAGAATTAAAATTATAATGATACAAATGTTTCAAAGTTAATTCAGAGAATTTCAAGGATGGTAAAACTTGTTACATATTGCAACAAGTGAAAAGTTGGGTGTAAATTTGTACTTTTCAGATTAATTAAATGTTTTAACTACTGTAACCAGTGAGCATATGGAAAATTGTGGCCTCAAAACTAGATGTGACCCTAGCCATCTCTATGGTAACTATGAACTCAAGATGCCACACTGACTTCTCCAGAAAGATATCTAAATATTTAATTCATTAGTCAGCCTGGACATTCTTAACCCTAAATTTAGTCTTTTCTTGTTTCCAATTTTTTACACTTATTTTTAGCATTTTCAACCAACTATGCTAAAACAATAAATATTTCCTGTTTTATAGCTACCAATGATCAACAGGCAGCTTCTTTTGAAATGGAAATGTCTCAAGTTGGCTTCAGTGCCCATTATTCTCAGGTAAAGTGATTAGATTCAATTAGAAGGAAAAGAAACTAGGCATATTATACTTTCTCCACAGAGAGAAATGTTACAATAAGTTTTGCTAATCAATTAAAAAATAATCTTTGTGAACTGCAAGAACTTTTGACTTATTTATTGGAAGTACCTTGCTCTTTCTGATCGGCTGGGTTTTGCTTTTTTGTTGTTGTTGACAAAGATACAGGAGTGGGTTGCCATTTGGTCCATGGATTGTGAAGAGTCAGACACAACTTAGCAACTGAACAACAGCAATGATAAAAACATGTTCCTATGGAATTTATTGGATATCACAGCAACAGGACTATTCAATATGCAGGCATAAGAAACTGGGGCTGTCAGGATGACTCTTGCTGATTTGAAATTGCAATCAAACTTTGATTCCATATATTAGGATTCATTTGAACAGAATGCATGAAACAGGATAACATCTGAGATGCTAACCTAATCTAGCATAGATGAGATACAACAGGGAGATAATTATTCATCTTAGATTCAGAATTGTGAATTCTCTATCATTGGAGATTTTCAAGGTGAACGATTTGTCCAGAATGGTATAAGATCTATTGCATGAGCAAAGGGTTGAAACCTTTGAAGACCATATTCTATGCTTTATGCTCACTTATCAGATTAAATTAACACAGCAAATCTGTTCAGTGATGTCTCATATTTACCAAAAAAAATATTGAGGGATATCTATTTAAAGATGCTGATTATGAAACCACTAAATATCTGGAACAAATACATGCTGGTGTACCAATTTTGAATTGTATTTTCTTTCTTCTGTTTTGTTATGCTTATACAGCAAAAGCTGATACATGACTGAATTGCTCTACATTGTCCACCCATAAGCTGGTTGCCCAGCATAGTCCCCTTTTTTGGTTTATTCCACAGGATAAATCTCCAAGAATATAGTAACGCAATGATTTCTCTGCTATGTTTGTAAAGGATTGGATCATGCTTGGAGCAGTTGGGGCATATGACTGGAATGGGACTGTTGTCATGCTAAAGGACAGCAATTTTGTAATACCAACAAGTAATGCATTTGATGATAGCTTTTCAGAAAAAAATGAAAGTCTTGCAGCATACTTAGGTGAGCAAAATCGACTGCTGATTGTTGTACTCTTATAATAATGTATGCCAGTCCAAAGTGTTTTAATCAAGGGTGGCTTTCTTTCCCAACCAGATATCAATGGTTGTATTGTACATTAGATCCAGAGAATGGAAGATCTTCTACTAGAAGTCACATTCTTCTTTTTACTTTTATGAATCAAATTAAATTCAGGAAATCATATTTAAAAATTAAATTCAAGATGCCTCCTAAAACTCTGGCCATTTCAGTACAACAGTAATACTGTACTTTGGATATGTTATAGGGCAGTGGTGGCTAACCTTTTTGGGTTCCTGTGCCAAAAATTGTGTGCACACTTGTGCATGCCAGCACCTAGAAGGCAATGCACGCGCCCCCTCACGCCCCCTATGCATGTGAATGAAATCGCTCCATGCCCCCCACGGTGCCCCCTTACCTGCACTGCACCTCCCAGCTGATTTTCGGCCCCTTTGAGGCCTTTTTCGGCCTCCCAGAGGCTTGAGGAAAACTTCTGCAGCCTTTGCAGGCCAAAAAATGGGTCTGTTTCATCATTTCCAGTATTTCCAGAAATGCAAGAAGTGACAAAATGTGCCTATTTTTTGGCCTGCAAAGGCTTTTTTCTTCAACTCTCTGGGAGGCCAAAAAAGGCCTCAAACAGGCCAAAAATCAGCTGTGAGGTGTGCGCATGTGCAGTGAGGTAAGTTTGCCTATGGCTCGTGTGCCGGCACAAATGGCTCTGCGTGCCACCTGTGGCACGTGTGTCATAGGTTCGCCATCACGGTTATAGGGAATCTATGCCAGTAGATGAACTTCTTTTGACTTTAGAAAGGTTCACTTTCCAGATTAATTCTTCCTAAAACAAGCCACCCTAATGTATTGCCTTTACATACTCTCTCTCTCTCTCTCTCTCTCTCTCTCCTTTCCTCTCCTCTCCTCTCCTCTCCTCTCTCTCTCTCTCTCTCTCTGTGTGTGTCTCTGTCCCTGTCTGTTTCTCTCTGTCTCTCTCTCTTTCTCTCTCTCTGTGCATGTTGTGTATGTGCATGTGTACGTATTGCAAGGAAGCTGAATGAATTATTTGTGCCTGTATTATTCTCCGCCATGCAGATACCATGTTTAATTTGGAGGAAGAAAATCAGAGTTAATGTCTGCCCTTTGGAATAAACCAGATCAGAAAATGAATGCCACTGGAAGACTACAATTATATATATTGAGATAGACTATAATAACAACAAGCCCTATTGTGCTTTACCTCTCCTCCCTTTTATATCTCAGTGAACCATGGAGCAGCCTGTCCGGGTCTCTTCAAATACAATCTCCTTTCCCAGAATTTAAAGAATGGTTCAGCTCTCTTTGTTTATGTGACAGTATTTGCCTATTTTCTTCAGGGTCACCCCTCGGATTCTCTGTCCCAAATAATAAAAAGATATGAAGTCTTAATTTTTCCCCACAAATTGAGAGCAAACAAATCATTGACTTTACATGTTATTCAGCTAGGAGTTCTTAAATAATATAAATGTGAAATTACTGGTGTGTTCAGTTAATGAATGGTCTTATAAACACAAAAAGCATACACAACAACCTGATTCCAGGAGATGCTATTTCAGAGAACAGAGACAACTGAAACTCTTTTTTTAGAGAATAGACACAAGTTATTGGGAACAGGTAAATTTTCCTATGATCAGATTCTGAATCAGACAATTAAAATGTGGATAATATAACTTTCTGGAATCTGAATTTCAACTCTCAGCTGGCTTTGAATGAAATCTGGAAGCTGATATTCTTATATTTGGAGGGCACTCATATTAGGGAAAGTTGGCATAACAGGAATTCTTAAATAGACATCCTTGAGAAACCCAGAAATACCTGTTCTTTATAAGCTGGTGGAAACTATTTCTACTGATAGGCACACACACACACACACACACAAAAAAAAAAAAAACAGGAGACATTTTGCTAAAGAAGAATCAATATTGTTTCTGACAAACCCTTTCAGATTTTGTGGGGTAGAATGGGGTTTCAAAAAAGGTTGAGCACATAGGCAATTTACTCTAAGACAAATGTATGTGTGTAAAGCAAAAATAGCTATTAAATGCTATAAGTATAATGAGTGCTTATCCTTCCTTAGGTTATACAGTCAATTCAGCTTCTGCACCTGGAGATCTGCTATACATTGCAGGGCAACCTCGTTATAATCACACCGGTCAAGTTATCATATATAAAATGAAGGATACTGAAGTAGAAATACTCCAGAAATTAAGTGGTGAACAGGTAATTATGTATTATGACACTAATCCACTGTCTAGTCTTTCACTAGGGGTAAAAAATCAATAAGCATCTCCTTATTTAACAACATTTATAATAATAAAGTTATGTGCACTGCATATTTACTCCATAAAAGAAATACAAGTAAGGACTTCATTCAAAACCATTACACCAATTGTCAATGACTGTATATCTGTTTTAACAATTACTAATATACAGTACATGCTTTGAGTTTCTTTATAGGAAAATTGGGAAATTTTAGTTCATCTTCATTCTTAAAGAGACAGAATTTATTTGCACTTTCTAATTAGCTTTTTATGAAGTAATTTCTCCATTCAAAATATCCATATTAAAAATGTCTATACAAGAAAAGTTTCACATAGCAAAACTTGCATGCACAACTAAATATAATTATCTAGCAGCAACTTGAAAACACAACAAATTACAGAATATCATGTTTGAAGGAAGGCATTTTTATGTAAGAGAAGCAGCACTCAAACAAGAATATGTACAGACTGAACCTATGCACTTATGTGACTTATGAATTATGCTTTTGTATCCCTCTTAATATTCTGATTTTAGCAACAGCCAACCTCTGCTTGGGTGTTAAAATAGAAGTATCCACCCAGCTTAGTTTCTTTGTATTATCAAGCATGTACTTCCTGCAGCAAAATAACTCTATGTCTGTAATAATTCTTAGTGTTCTAAGTTATATTTTTCAATCTCAAAGCAAGGGCTTTAGACTAGTTTATCTATTCCTCACTCCCAATTCACATTCATATATTTTCCAATATTAAGTTATACACAAACCATGCAAAGTTATGAATTATATTACCTAGCAAAGTGGGGGACAGAAGGATTATGTAATGCAGACTTTTCTTTCCTTGGTGGCAACTTGTTGGTTTTTTTCCTCAATCAGATATAAGTTCACTTTCTTTTTTTTCCCCTTGTACATCTAACCACACATGTGCACACAAAAATTGTGCGAAACTAAGTTGCCATTGAAAAAAAGAAATGGTTTAAATTTGATTGTTTAATTCTTACCCAATCTTAATCCAAATGAAATCATTAGTTTTTTCAGTGGTGGGGAAAATCACACAAAAAATATTTATCATTTTCAGACTCATGATACTATGATGTTTGAGGACCTGTGGTTTACCTAATACCCATGTTGTTATACATTAACATGTATCAATGGTGTGCTATTTTTTAAATCACAGATTGGATCGTATTATGGAAGTGTTATTACAACAATTGATATTGACAAGGATACGTATACAGATCTTCTTTTGGTGGGAGCACCGATGTACATGGGGACCGAGAAAGAAGAACAAGGCAAGGTGTACATTTATTCTTTAAACAAGGTAATGATTCTTTTTAAAAAATCATATGGATTGGGGATCCAAGTGACAGTCTAACATCAATTGATTGCATGTCTAGGCAATCAAAAGGACTTGTAATAAAAATCAGATGGGTCTTTTTGATCATTATTTCTTCTTTAACAGAAAACCTTTGAATATCAGATGACACTTGAGCCTGTAAAACAGACCTGCTGTTTGGTACACAAAGAGAAAGATTGCACAAACCACAACAAAAATGAACCATGCGGAGCTCGTTTTGGAACATCAATTGCTGCCGTAAAGGATCTCAATCTTGATGGTTTTAATGATATAGTCATAGGTGCTCCTCTAGAAGATGATCATCGAGGGGCTGTGTATGTTTATCATGGAAATGAGAAGAGTATAAAGAAAGAATATGCCCAGGTAGGGCTCAAGCTCAATGGCCTCATTCCAAAACCAAGAGTAGTTTAATTATGGCATTCTAAGCCTCTGGGAACTCTTCCATTTTGCAGAAAGGAACAAGTAGCATAAAATACAATATAGTTTCTCTGTGCAGGTGTATAGTCTTATTTTTAGATCAGGTATGTCAAACTTGATTTCATTGATGACTGCATCAGGGTTGTGATTGACCTCGGGAGGGGTGGGGTGTATGTGGCCAGGGTGGGTGTGGCCAGCTCAACATCACTTGTGTCGGGGGTACCTATGGCGGGCCAAGTGCTCTGCCAGTGAAAATAGGCTCTTGAGCTCTGTTTCTGGCTGAGACACCTCCTGCAACACTCTGTCAGCGAAAACAGAGTTCACAAGGGCCACATGTAGTCCTCCCGAGCTATATTTTCTGCTGCAACAGCTTCTTGTAATCCTCTGTGAGTGAAAACAGATCTCAGGAGAGCCACATGTGGCTCTCCTGAGCTCTGTTTTCACTGGCAGAGGCACCATGGGCTAGTCCCTTGCTGTTTCCAGGGTAGCCCCACAGGCCAGATCTAAGCATCCCGGATCCAGCCTGCTGACCTTGAGTTTGACACCCCTGTTTTAGATTAATGTAGGAATAATCTATATCCGAAGTTGATGGCCAACCACCAGGGATTTTTAAAAAATAATTTTCACCCTCTTTTAAATTACAAAAAAGCTCTTTTTCCCACAGCATTTTTATCTATGCACAATCCACAAATCATCACTTTTCAGTCCTGTTTCAGTCCATTAGGAATTATCAGAAATATCAAACAGATCAAACAGATAATCAGAGTTGGAAGGGACCTTCCAACAGATAATCAGAGTTGGAAGGTCATCTAGTCCAACCCCCCGCCCAAGCGGGAGACCCTATCAAACAAATACTTCATTCCTGATCACATAGTCCAATTTCAAATTACTCTTTCTTGCTCTTCACAATCTTTCATGGATCTTTGGCATTCAATGGACTCACCCTCTTTGTAAATCCCATGAAGAAGCATCATCCATTCTGGGATTTAGGTAGGACATCATTATGACAATATAAATGTCAATGTTTATTCAACATTACATATTTTCTGCAATAGTAGGGATATGGGAGAGTTATAAAGGTCTGGAATCACAAACAATTATCTATTTGTAATATGCTTAAGTATATTTTATGGTTGGATGTAATAAAACTGTGCTTCTTCAAAGCGTATTGCTTCTGGTGGAGATGGGGAAAAGATGAAATTTTTTGGACAGTCAATCCATGGTGAAATGGACTTAAATGGAGATGGACTTACAGATGTGACTATTGGAGGCTTAGGAGGAGCAGCTCTTTTCTGGTAGGTGTAGTCAACCTTGCTATCAGTTGTATTCCCTAACCAATTTCTTTGTCATATGTGAATGTAACTGAAGAAATAATATCATTTCATAAGGAAGGGTTGGAAGTACTGTCATGGTTGCAAAATCGGCATGATTTTCAGAAGTATTGAGAACTCTAAAACAGCTGATTGTGTTTTGCATGAAATGTTGAGTGACTGAATTAAGGACAACCCTTGAAACTGGAATACAGAATCTAGGAAAATAACATGACTGGGTGGTAGGCTAAAAAAAATAGACTCTTTTTTTTAAACATTGGAAAATAATGTTAAGTCGAGAGAGGAAATCAAGTTCATTAGGACTGTCTATAATTATTTAAAATGTTTTGTGCTTTACGCAAGCATAGGATCTCTCTTATATTCATAAAAATGTTAGACAGTTACTGAGGCAATTTCCAGCTTAATTTGCCCTCAGCATACACTCAGCTAATTCTTATATCAGCTCACAGCAAGTATACATGCTAAATATTGCAAATATTGCAACACGCTGAACATTCTGTAATATTCCTTAATTGTTTTCTTTAGGTCTCGAGATGTTGCCCAAGTAAATGCTTCCATGAAATTCATGCCCAACAAAATTGATATTCAAAAACTAAGCAGTGACATGCAAAAACAAAAGTTGTATATTAACTCCACAATTTGTTTTGAAATCAGATTAAAGTCAAAAGACATCACAATTAATGAAACAAGTAAGTGGACATCCAGGTTTTTGAACTCTGCATAGATGTTTTCTACCAGGAATGTCTGCTGGGAGGAGAAGGTGTCAAATATCAAGATGGTGACCACTACATTTCATGCCTTTTTTAAATGTGTGTCATACATATAACACACATCAGAAAAAAAGCTGCTATCTTGACTGTTTTGACCTCTCTCCTGAGGATGCTCCTGTCTTTATTGTTCAAACCACAGCTGCAATCAAAAACACTTACTTCTGAACAGTTCTTTAAATCCTGGGCCATCACTTTGGGGCTTAACTTTGTTACATAAACATAAAATAGAACTGATGTTTTTTAAATGGTTTTATAACATTGTATTTCATGCTAGCTAGAAGTTGAAGTAGGAAGATATCACACTATTTAGAACTTTAATAATAAGGGGGAAACAGAAGCCTGGGCCTTAACTACAGCATTCAGGATTCAAAGGATAACTGTAGCTATTTATTAGACCAGAGGTCGCCAACCTTTTGGACCTCAGGGACCACCAAACTCATAATTTTAAATCCTGTAGACCAGAGACCCTGGGAAAATCCCCCCAAAAAGTCTGCAGGAAAATTCCCCATGCCATTTTCCTACCTATCGATCATTCTTTATTTGGGATCGCAGGATACAGTCTCCAGCTCTGTTCTCAGGGGGAGAGAGAGAGAGACTTTTGGCTTCATGCAAGGAAAGCAGCAGCAGAAGTCTTTCTTTCTCTCCCCCAAACTCTGCCAGAAATGAGTCTTTGTGAGACTTGTAGTGCCTGCGCAGCCTCTTGGAGCAGGATGCCTTTCAAAGACTCATTTCTAGTGGAGTTTGGGGGAGGGAAAGAAAGACTTTTGCTGCTTTCCTTGTGTTCAGAAGAAGAAAGAAGTGGAAAGAAGCAGCCCAGTGGCCAGGCCAGGCACGTGGGGCGAGTGGGGCAAGTCCCCCCTCCACCCTTTCCCCCCTCCCCTCACTACCTCGTGTTGTTCGCAATGCAAGCGATGCAAGCCTTGTGTTCCGTGGGCCATGTGGGTGGCACAGCCTTGTGTTTCCACGCAGCCTGGATTAATTGCTTTGCGGGTAACATTTCTCTGCAGACCACCAAAATTTTCTCATGGACCACCAGTGGTCCCCAGCCCACTGGTTGGCAACCAATGTATCAGATGATTATGCTGTATATAGAATGCTAGAAAAAAAACCAATTATGACCTCCAGAGGTTTCTCCTAAAACTGAGAAAGAAAAAGAGACTAAACTCTATTTAAGAGGACAATATATAATTGTTTCAGTGTATGTGAGCAACCTCCTATTGTCTCAAAATTAGATACGCATTCTGTCTATGGACAAATATTGTTGTTGTTTTTTACACAAATGGTAGGATCGGAAATGTATATCCTTTGTTAAACTTTTGACCCATTGCTTTTAATTTAATTCAACTGGTCTTCCTCAGCAGATAGAAGCTTTGATGTACATGGATTTGGAAGCTAAGCAGTATCAGGTCTGGTTAGATTTAGATGGAGGACCTTCAGAAAGTTTAAATGGAAAGAATTGAAATATATCCTGGAGCAGGCACTAGGAAGCTGTTTTCATGCAGCTACCAAGAAAGCTACACCAGCAATTAATGCAAAGGTTTTCAACCCCAAAGCCCAACTTACAGAATTCCAACAATGCAACATAACAACTCTAAGCTACACATATTATATTTGATACCCACGCATTGTATTAATATAGTCTTTAAAAGTGATAGAACTAATGGAGGGAAACAGATGAGCAGCTTTCAAAGAGAGCTACTTTAGAAACATCTTATGCATGGAATTAATTGCTGCTATTTTTGTTCCTAGATATACAGTACTGGTTTACACTTGATTCACAAAGAAAGGTGTCTCGAATACTTTTTGCAGAAACAAATGAACGGAAGATTCAAAGAAACATCACAGTTAGAGGTTCAGAATGCATTAAGCACAACTTCTACATGTTGGCAAGTAAATCATATAAAGTGGTTATCTTCTTTGCTTATTGCTATAATTGCCTTTATCTCATTATTAATCAATTTTAAATAGGGCTAGAGAGAAGTTCCATGAAGATGGGCTCCAGCATGAATCCAAAAGCTCAGAAGACAAAAACCTCTGGTCCCAGTGACTGGCCCAGATTGGATCCTAGCCTGTTTCTATTGTATTGGTCTACTATAGGAAGCTAATATTGATCTCATTGGGGACAATAGCCCTGTAATGCACTATTTTAAATTCAACATGTAAATTATTGTATATGTACTTAAATTATCACAGACTGTTCAGGATGATTGGTGGCATGCTGATATTTGCATGGAGAAAATACCCTTAAAATATACAACTTAAATATATATAATCATCTGAATCTCTTACCCATCTGACTTTCTCCATTTTCCATATGCATTATTTTTCCATTTTCCATATGCATTTATAGAAAATTAAATATGGTGGATGGCTGAAGCTCAGAACTTTGGAAATACAGCATGTCATATGTTGAGATGGTAGATCGTCAATTGAGGGGTTGGGTGGTGAAGGACAAGTTTCTGGCAAATGGATGATTTGTGTCTGGCCATGCCCTGTATATTGTTTACTTCCAACATACCTACATACCTGTAAGGATGGCAGCATTTAACTAAACATGGCTAATCTTGTAAAAAAAAACCAACATCCCCCATCAAAATCACCAGGGAATAGGTAGCATTCCCAATAACCCTGGAAAAGACCATGAGCACTTCTATATTCTGCGAAGAAATCAACATATATATCCCAAAGAGTTTGAATTTGATTCAAGGGAATCTATCTTTAGCCCAACACAAAGTTTTTTTTTCACTTATTTCCTTCTGCAAAGAACTTCCTCCTTGAAACTGATGCAATTAAAGGATAATTGAATAGACCTATATTTAATGAAAGGCCATTGCCAACACAGAAAATTAACACATGTGATTTTGTGTATGCATAAATGTTTGTGGTTTCTAGGCTTACCAAGATTTTGTTTATGAGACACAGCAATATCTCATTAGTTACAAATAAAAACTTGAAGAGGAAATACCTTAATTTTTATCAAGCACTAAGATCTAGACAATTCCTTCAGCTGTCACTTTCATCATCATTCTTTTTAAATGCTTATTCGCTAATGATGGGCATGAATGATAAATCTTGAAAGCATTAATTTTTAGTTTGTAACTTACAAGAAAAAAAGTAATCTTGCTGGGTGATAACCTCTTAATACCGTGTTTCTCATATAATAAGGCCGGGTCTTTTTTTTTTTTGAGCCCCCAAAAAATGGCTAGGCCGTCTTTTCGGGGGTGACTTAATTCCCCCCCCCTTGCATCTTAGGGCGGGCGGCGACAGTTTGGATGTTGACCTCGGCGTTGGTGGGGCACTTTGTATCAGGGTCAACGCAGGCAGCACCGTATCCGGGTGTGCAACAAAAGTACTTCCTAACAGCAATCCCCCCCCCCGCCATTTCCCCCCCATTTCGCATGTTTTAATATAGGCCTTAATTTGGGGGGGAGGGGCTTAATTTCATTTCATGCCTATAAAACATGCTGGGACTTCCTATTGGGGGAGGCCGTATTGTTGGAGAAACAGGGTAGGAAAATTATACTAGTTGGCTTATTTTCTTCCATCCAGATAGTAGATTTCATACCATTCAGAGGGTTCTTCTATTATGCAAAAATCTGCATTCAAATCAACATTAATCCATGCTATGACCACTTTGCTTTTCATATCACTTGCCCTCAATGTCTCTGACTTGCCAGTGCCCCCAGCAAAGCAATCTGATAATTGACCTTCTACCACCAAGGATGATGAAGCAGCTCCTTAGATGGAATTTTTACTTTTCAATAGTTTTTCAATAGCTTTTTTATTTTTTACATTTGGAGGAGTTAGCACATTTGGAGGAGTTAGCACATTCACTATGCTTTCTAGACATCCTTGGCTCAGGCCAAAATGGAAAGCTTTGTTCCGTGCCAATTTTCAGGAATTAGATCTTTAAAGTCTATTGTATATGACAACCAAGAATGCCTAGCAACACAACTGTCAGGGACATATCCCATGCTTGCTAGATAATTTTCAGAATGAGATAAATTTCATTGTTGTAAATATATATTTCTTTTTCTTTCTTTTCTATTTGTAGCTGTATATTTATGCATTTTTAAATTATAGACTAGATGGGGATTCCCTTCCTTCATATAGCACCCTGTATTTATATGAAAAATAAGGAGGAATCTTGCTTAGAATGGAGCCTTATTAAATAGAGAGATTCAGATTGTCAGTTTCTAATACAGTGTTCTTGTTCTTGAAGAAAGAGCAAATTCCAATGCCTGATTTGCTTCGGATTTTTTCCAGGGCAAGCCTGACTTTCGTGATCCTATAAAGGTTTTGCTGGAGTTTAATTTTTCTGACCCCGAGAGTGGACCAATCCTTGACAGTGAGCTGCCCAATTCAGTAGCTGAATATGTAAGTAACTACAATGTGGACAATTTTAACTTTTGTGTTACAGTATAGAGTTACATATTAAGAATGACATTTGATCCTCTGCGTGTGAGTTAACTCACTCCATCTATCCCCAATCATTTCCGTCCTCTCTTCAAACAAACTTGTTCCAAAGATGAGAATTTACTTTTTCGGCACCAAGTGTCCAAAGCGCATGCACGTGCATGCATTCTCAAAATGCAATGTGTGCATGCCACCTACATGCCCCACGCCCCCGTGCATGCATGGCAGAGACCTGAAGACCAGCTGGCTGGCAGGAGGTGCACGTGCATATGTGCGGCAGAGCTGAGCTCTTGTGTGCCCAGAGAGAGGGCTCTGCGTGCCACTTCTGGCACACATGCCATAGATTCACCACGGGACTAGAGAGCTCATGTAATTTTTCCCAAAATAAACAAATAAATGGTACTGTCATGTTGGGTCCTCTCTTGGTAAAATAAGACATGCATGACTGAACATGGCCATCTGCTTATTCTATAATAAATTTATATTTGCTTTCTCCATTCTTTAACACAACCAGAGCCTTTCTGTGGTAGGAGAAGATATTTCAGCCACGTTCTTCCTCAGCACATTGTTGATGGGGTTATGGTTATGTATGTATGTCTACATAACTTGGGCTTGCTATCAGATGCTTAATGGAAATCATGGAGCACAACTCTTTTGCAAATCCATATTAGGAATTTGATGACACTATTAAAAACTAGGCAGGACGTTCCAGAATTCCAGAAAGGGAAAGAAATTAGCAGGGGTTAAATAATGTGTAGTCTTTTCATTGCTAATCAATAATTCCTTGTAGATCCATTTCACAAAAGATTGTGGAAACAAGAACAAATGTATCACTGATCTACAGCTGACTGCTAACGCAACCATAGGGGGAAACAGGTAAGTCAAATGAAACACAAATTCTATCTCTCTGTCACTCTGCTTCTCTCTATTTTTTTAATGGAATGTTCTGTTTAAAATATGATTTAAAGAGATAAATATAACCAAAGTAGAAATAAAAACAATGGTAGATCATTATCCTGATCAATGCATAAAAATTATTGAAGCTCTAAAGTAGACTAAAATAGACATTATGGAAAATGCTTAATGGCTGCCCAAAATAACAGCTCCTTATTTTTCCCCTCATATCACTGGGCTGATAAGTCACATGAGCACTCTGAGCCTCCAAAAGAAATGAGGGGGGGGGAGAGGGGAAGAGATAGAGAGGGAAATGGAGAGTTTCATGGAGAGATAGAGAGGGATGACAGAGGCCACGCAGGCTATATACTCTTGCAAGGTCATTCATTAGGGGACTGGAGGCTAAAACATATAAAGAATGGTTGCAGGAATTGGACATGTCTAGTTTAATGAAAAGAAGGAATATGAGTGACATGATAGCAGTGTTCCAATATCTCAGGGGCTACCAGAGAAGAAGGAATCAACCTATTCTCTAAAGCACATGAAAGCAGGACAAGAAGCAATGGATGGAAACTAATCAAGAAGCCTAGAACTAAGAGAAATTTCCTGGTTGTTAGAACAATTAATTAGTGGAATGACTTGCCTTCAGAAGTTATGGATGATCCAATACTGGAAATTTTAAAGAAGAGATTGGACAACCATTTGTCTGAAATGGTATAGGGTTTCTTGCTTGAGCAGGAGGTTGGACTTGAAAACCTCTAAGGTCCCTTCCAATTCTGTTATTCTGTCACTTGGTCTTCCTTACCATTATCTGCAGCTCCTAAATTGTCAAGAATTATTTATTGGTGGCTGAAGGGGACCATATTCCTATTTTAGAAGAGGATTGCACATTTTCAGTCAGAAGGAAGAGCAAAAACTAAACATAAATGTAACTGTATCTAAAGATCTCCATATGTTCATCAGCATGCATGCAAAATTAAGAGTTCTCCTTGCTATCTGTCAGCTTTGGAAGCCATATTCCACGCTGCCACAAGCTTGAGAAAGTGGGAGGAGGGTGGATTCAATTGAACAGCTCTAAGTAGACAAAATAAAATTCTTTTGCTAGTTCAAGGTCATTGAGTTTGGTGTAGGAGGAAATAAGAATATTACTTTTGAAAGGATCGTGATTGGGCCATGTGATGTGATGATGGCCAAGGGGAGGGGGTGGATTTGTAGTTTGGGAAACTGTGGGAAGCCCAAAAATTTTCAGATTCGGGATTCTACAGATGTGCCAGTTGCTATTCTAAGAAAGATACTTTTGAGATATGGTTGTCTCCGTGTTACTGATTAGAATGGAGGTTTGCTGGAACGCTGGCACTATCATTGAGAAAGGCAGGTTGTTGTAGCAGGAACACCACATTTTTCAAAATATGGAATTGCTTTAGATAAAAAGCATAATTTCATGGATCTAAACATGGGGTCATTGGTGGGGCAATATTAAAGAATTCCTTCTAGTTATCTCAGTTACATTAGGCTGTCTTGGGAAAACATAAAAATTCTCTTCTCTCCAACAGTACTTCTGTGGATATAATTAGGAATGTTGTGACATTGCGGAGGTTATGTTTCCTCCCATCCCGTCATTCCATTCATAATTTTCATATTTGGGCCACTAATGGATTGCAGATGCCTGCCGAAATCTGTGTCTCTCACAATGTGTCAAAGCAAGACATTTAAAATAATTGCTTGAAAATGTACATATCAGAAATATATACAAAATATAGAATTTTTTGAAACAGAATTTCCCTGTTACTTGCAATCAGTGTTCACATAATAAAACTGCATAAGGTGAACAGAAACCAATGTTTATGACAACTTTTTCTGATAAATGAATATATTTATATTGTTTTTAATAGTTTTTTTTAATCTCATTTTTAATTTTATTTTAAGTCAGTTGTTTTAGTGGTCTTTGTATATTCTTGATTATTACGATTTATACTGACTGTTTCCTTGTATGATTTGATTGCTTATTATATCCTATGACTATCATTAAGTGTTGTATCTTTTCTTTTATGTATACTGAGAGTATTTGCACCAAGACAAATTCCGTGTGTGTCCAACCACACTTGGCCAATAAAGAATTCTATTCTATTCTATTACTATGTATGCCATCCATAATCACCGAGATGGGCAGCGTTTAATGTGATTATATAAATAAACATTGGTTATGTTTGGAAAAAGATAAATTCAGCCAAACTGAATAGCATAGGAGTGTTCATACTTAGGTGCTCATTAATCATCTGGGTTGTGACAAGGTTTGCGCAGCAGTAGCCCTAAGTACTGTATAATCACAAAGAACAGCTGAGAGCTACACATGTGATCTGCAAGACATGAGTTAACTACCCATAATCTTGAGAAGTTACATGGGAGCCAACTGTCTGTGGAGATTCTCAGTCATCCAGGTCATAATTATCTCAAAGGTGCTTTTTTCTTCAAAAGGCAACTGGACTGGTTTTTTTCCTTGATGAAGAAGAAGAAAACGTTTTGCTTTTCATCCAAGAAGCTTCATGTGTTCTGATTTGTGGGGGATGGGAGCCAATCATTGCACTGCAAATTTCCCTACTCCAGTGGTGGGGTTCAAATTTTTTTGCTACCAGTTCTGTGGACGTGGCTTGATGGGCATGGCAGGGGAAGGATACTGTAAAATCCCATTCCCTCCCCATCCCACTAACCTGCTTTGCAGCTCCGTTCTCTTGTGCAGGGCAACAAAAGAAGACCCAGCCAATCAACTGGGATGCAGAAGGCAGAGAATAGATGGGGGCAGGGCCAGTCAGAGGTGGTATTTGCCGGTTCTCCAAACTACTCAATATTCCGCTACAGGTTCTCCAGAACTGGTCAGAACTGGTCTGCCCTACTCCATTTCAGTGGTGGTAGTCTATCAGTTCAGCCTAGTTCTGCTGAGCCAGTAGCAGCAATAGGCAGCAGAGACCGAATTGGTTCTCTCTGTCGCTCTTCTGTTGGGCCCACCTGCCCACCTGGGCTCCCATACTCACCTTCAACCTCTGAATTTGAAGCGCAGCTGCTTTGCGCGGCACAGAAGAGTGCTGCGTGACAGCTGCTGAAGCAACCGGGATTGTGCAGGCTTGCAGGAGGCAAGTTAGAATGCTTCTGCACATGTGCAAACACCTCTGTGCCTGCACAAAGTGCGCGTTTGGCGCACACATGCATGCAAAATGTGCACACACACACAAAGCGCACCCACCAAGCCACGGCCACCGAACCGGTGGTAAACATATTTGAATCCCACCACTGCTCCATTTACGGTTGAGTGTTTGTAGAAAAAGGGAAAATCATAGTGTGTGATGTCACATCACAGTTATTTTGCAAAACTAAACATTACTTGGGAGAAAGTTCAAATATTAGGCTGTTGTTTTTAGCAATAGTCCAAATCTGTGTTAATACTGGATTCTTCCTTCATATTATAACAGCAGCAGTAATGTCAGGCTTACCCTTTTTCTTTTTTTAACTCTAGAATGACGAAGTAATAAAAAGTATCCCATTTCTAACAGTAAATAGATCTTATACCAATCCATTTTGATGCTCCAATTATATGACTCTGCAACTGTCAAAAAAATGTCCACCTAATTTTCTGTTTCCTCCCCCCACTTTATTATATGCTGCTGACTTAATAAAAGATATAGTTTAAGATCTACAAAGCCAGAACTGTTTTACACTTGTTTATGATCTGTGTTCTTTATCTTTTTTACATTTTTCAGTTTATCTCAATTCATCATCAAATTGAATAATTTGAAGTTCTGGGTCCAAATGTTGGTCAGAAATAAAAAAGATAGTGCGTACAATACAAGAGTCTATGTGCAACATTCTCCAAATATTATTTTTTCTGGAATTGAGGTAGATATTTTTAAATTATCATCTTGTTGGGAGAGGAAAAAAGTAATGCAAACTCATTTAGAGAAATTAGGATGTCCATTATTGATTTTTCTACATTCCAGGTTTACATGTTTATTTATTATAGATTTATGCCACATATTTTCTCGGGAACTCCCAGGAGGCAAATGAGGGACATTCTCTTATTTTTTCCACAAAATGATCATTCTATGAGGAATATTTATTATAATACTGTACATACATAATATGACTATATGTGGTTCCTTTGCAAACAATCCTGTGGAAATTTCAAAGATTGGTAACCATTACCATGAGAGGAAAATGTTGATTAAAAAATAATAATTGATTGAAGCCAGAGTTCTAGGCATGCTAGCAGACCCTAATCCAATGACATCTAGTTTTGAGAAGATTTATGAAGTAGTTGTACAACTTGTAGTCAGAAAGCCTTGGATTTGAATCCATGTTGCTTTTCATAGTTTAATTTTACAAAGAGGGAAATTATAGAATGTGGTACATAGAGAGCTATCCTGTTAGTTGTATTTAAATAATAAAACTTAGTTTTCTGTCCCACTTTTTTGTCACTTTCTGCACATTTTTCAGAGGAAAATGTGCCTCTCTGGTGTATATGACTGCACTGAAACTCGTGGACGATTTTATTTCCTTTACAATTGCATCAAATGCCTTATAATGATTAAGAGTTAATCAAGTCCTGCATGTTAAATGTGTGAATGTTTGTATTTCTATTTAAGAATAAGGAACAAGCAGATTAAATCCATATCAGGGCCATGGCAGATGGAGAGAGAGCTTCAAACTTTTCCTGAACTCTTGAGTCCTAATTAAAATCATCCCCAGCTGTTACTCTTCCAATAAGGAAGCTCTCCTTAATCTTGACGAAAGTTTCCAGAATAAATAGCAGTTTTAGAAATTGTGAGTTTTGAGGAAGGCAGAGCAAGGGGTATGGTGAAAGGTAGATTAGTAGATTAGTAGACTAGACCCTAAAGGAAATTCAGTTCTTGCTCAGTTATGAAGCTGCACAGGGAGATCAATTATTCTTCACTAATTCTGGTTCACAAAGTTTGGGACTACATAGCAATAGCACTTAGACTTATATACTGCTTCACAGTGCTTTCTAAGCCCTCTCTAAGCGGTTTACAGAGTCAACCTATTGCCACCAACAATCTGGGTCCTCATTTTTCTCAGAATGTATGGAAGGCTGAGTCAACCTTGAGCCTGGCGAGATTCGATTTGCCAAATTGCAGGCATCCGACAGTCAGCAGAAGTAGCCTGCAGTACTGCATTTTAACCATTGCAAAACCGCGGCTGTTTGTCGCAAATATGTTTTGGGATATTGATTTTTTTTCTATTATTACTATTTTTAAATAATTGATTTCTTATCATTTTATATACAGAGAATACCAAAAGATAGCTGTGATACTGGGCAGAACATCACTTGTAAAGTAGGCTATCCCTTCCTGTCTCCCAAGGAGGAGGTAAGACAATGTGCAGAACAGTTGGGTGACATGTGTATAACATATTTTAAATATAAACAAACACAAATGATATTGGAAAATATCTGTTCTCCTCCTACCAACTTCTTTTTTCTGGGTGACTAGATTTTGAATCAAAAGTGTATATGTCCATTTGTGTGTCTAGCATAGCATTTTTTTTCTGTCATTCTTGTAGCCTGTCATTTTTAAATCCACGTTCAGATCAGTTGAGGTCTTATCTGATAAAACCTATTACTCTTCCATAATATCTTTTAAACATAGCTTATATACAATGGCAGACACGCTTAAAATTAAATTCTGAGTCTGCTGTTCACAAATATCTTTTAATATGTCCAGTATTCCACTATGATGTTCCATTCAGCATTAGTAAATGAAAGTCTTCTTCTCCTTTAATAGTATTATTTGGTTCCTTCTGCTTCCCTCTGGTGTCCAACAAAGTTCCATACTACCATTTTTTAAAGAATTCATAGTATGTATGAATTTGTGTGTGTGTGTGGATATATGCATACATGTCTGTGTGTCTGAATTAAAAGTGTATATTTCAACATTTCTCCAAATGGCATCCTACAATGAACAGAAGTTACCAGTTAGCAGAAAGTTAATATAGTTCATGTTTACCATTCATACCCACAGGAAACAAAACAAGGATTAAACATAACTAAAAGTAAAGAGGAAATAAATAGAGAAGCAGCAAATGGAATGCATATTTAGAACTTTCTCCTCAAACACCTTCTCAAATGAGGAATATTCTTCATTAGTTTGACTAATGAATGTGATGTGATGAGATATAGTCAGATGTGATAAAGTTGTTGCATTCTTTTTTAGTTTCTATACGTGGGATGGGAAGGATAATGTTTGTCCTGATGTTATTAGAAGACAAATTCCAGATAAATATCAATAAAAGCAACAGGAAAACAACAGTTCAGAATTGAGGGGACTTTAGTTTGGATCTTGAAAAGAACAAAGTTTGGCCTTGAAACATACTTAATCACCTCAGGTAAAAACCTAGATTACTTGTTGCTTAGAGAATATTGTGCAAACCTATGGCCTATGTGAATTCAGCAACCAGATAAAGATGCCAATTCCACAAGACATTTCACACAAAATTTATATTACTAATTTATCTCTAATCATAAATGGATAAAAGAGGGAAGGATTTTTTTAAAAATAATAATAATTGATTGAATTTCAGAGCATTTAAAAGGGTGAAAAGTCTGGGCATTCCAGATGCTACTATAATACACTAGAACTCCCTACTTTTGACTATTTTCACATTCCTGGCTGGTTTAAAAGACAAAAGTTCCTGTAAGCCCTTTCCAACACCACCAAATGGATTGGACAGGGTTTGTCTTGTGTGAATTCTGAAAACCATAGACGTAGAATAGAACTTATATGGGAACTTAAACAATAATCTTCCAAGAGGTCAAAGTGTCTCCAAGCTGCATTTTGTGGATAATATGTATTTATATATTATTAACCCCGATGTAAAATGAACCTGGTTGCAGATATCAGGGAAGCATGCCTTAATGTCTTTGTGATCATAAGAGCAATTGCTTCCTTAGAGCTTATGACCAAAGAGATATTTATCTTCAGTTAGACAAAGTTTAGGCAACCAGATTCTTGATTCAGATCTTCCTCTGAGAATTGAAGTTTATGTGACAGGATATGTGGGAGGGCTGGCCTCTGACCTATGTGTGAGATCATGTGAACTTCCTATAAATATTATATTTCCTTAAGGGAAAAACAGGAGAGTTGAACAGCCAAGTAATATATAGTATGCTCTGTACTAAAAAAAGTGTGTGTATGTATATATACAGTATATATTGTATATAATGTGTGTGTGTGTGTGTGTGTGTGTGTGTGTATACTGTATACCAATATATACTGAATCTTTATACAGATTCTTCATAATTCAGGAAATTAAAGCATGTACTTATTTTTCTTTATTTGCAATTTTTTTAATAGTTCTTCCAGCATACTGAACAGCATTTATTAAATATAATCCTTATTTTAAATGTATCTATGTTGCCATAAAAGCTAAAAGGAAAGAACTCTTATGGCTAAAATAATAATGAAGTCCACATGATTTCACATACAAGCCTTCAGGTAGATGTTGATTCTTAGCAACCAGATAGGCAGGGGTTTTTTTTTAGACTGATCTGTCCCCAACCTAGTTCTATGGAGTGAATTCATTTGGCACTGTAATTGAGTCCATCCACTTTGCTGGTGGTCATCATTTTTTCCCTTTCTTCTTTTCCCAGCATTACTCAATAGACTTTTCTAGAAAGTTTGGTCTTCTCACAATGAAGCCAAAATACTATAATTTAGGCCTGCTCTTTCATGCCTTGAGATGGATTTGTTGTATAATCCATTTCTTTGTTCCTTAGCCATCTGTAGCATCTCAGGAATCTTAAGCAATACTAAAAACACTGATATTCTTCCTATCTTACTTCTTAAAAATCCAACTTGTCCCGGGGAAAACCATTTCTTGCATAATTCTGATTGTTGTAGGCATGTAACACATCACAGTATTAGAATATTTTTTCTAAGGCCTTAACTGCTTCTCTACTAAGTGCTAGTTTGCAACATATTTTTGACTGCTGTTTATATTTACTTTTGTTAGGCAATCCCAATTAGCTATCCACCACTTCAGTAACTTCACTATCAATTCTAAGGCTGGTGTACCTTGATGTACCTGTTATCATAGTTTGCTCTTCTGCATATTTAATCTTTGTCTTCATCTTCAGAGTAATTGAATTTCATTATTAGATACTGCACTACTTGCATTTTCAGTTAATTTAAATCTCACCAGATAAGTATATTGATGTTCCTTCCTCCAGCTTTAAACCACTCTGATCTTCAGATCCAGTTCCCCAAACCTTATAAAATTATAGCTGAAATTTAAACTATAAAACCGTTGTCTTTAAAATTAAAAACAGATTTAGATATTTTTAATTTCCCAATTCAAAGTGATGAGAAACAATGTAACAGAATTTTTAACTAGAGCTGTCCACCTTCTGGTTTAACTTCTTGTGTGAACTCAGCTAATGATAGTTTATTCAACAAATCATTGTTTAAAATATATGATCTATGATTCATTCTCTCTCTCTCTCTCTCTCTCTCTCTCTCTCTCTCTCTCTCTCTCTCACACACACACACACACACACACAGAGAGAGAGAGAGAGAGAAAGAGAATGAGAGAGAAAATGTCTTCTCTTCAAAGAAAATAGTGAATCTTCCATTCTCCATCTTATGCAGCCTCAGTCCTTCCTACTCTCCTGCTAGTTACACTTTTAAAAATTGCATATTAATTGTATTCATACAAATATTAAATGTGAGCCTCCATTACATATATTTCCAGCAGAAGGAAACCCCTGTACTTTATTTATATATGCATAATACCTTATTTCAAATTTTATACCACCTACTTCAAATATCCTAGAGATGATACCAATAAAGGAAAATATTTGTAGTTCAAAGTTGAAATGAGGAATCCTTGGTGGTCTCTGAGCTGGCTTGTTTTCCTGCAGACATTTCATTATCCAAACTAGGTAACATCATGACTAGAACTGATGATGTTACCTAGCTTGGATAATGAAACATCTGCAAGAAAACAAGCAAGCTCAAAGACCACCAAGGACCATTGTAGAAATGCCCTGATGGTCTGGAACAGCTATCCTTTTTGACTGGATGCCACCAAATGAATGAGCTAGAGTTCCGCTAGTTATGCTTTAGGCAAAGCAAGACCAAAAACAGCTGTAACCTTTTAGAATGATGGGATGCTTCATGTTAAAATATACTTCTTACCTTCACTCACATTGGCTAGTGAAGACAGAACAGCTGTTGTGGTAGCATCCAGCCATTCTTGTTAGTGTTTCTGTATGACTGAGACTTTATAAGAATAATTTATGTGAAATTCTGCTCTTTTTACCAGATTGTCATATTCTGTCATCTGGCTCAGTTGTCTCGACAGGAACTTGGCTAAAAATGAACTTTCCCACAATATCTTCTCCAGTGCCTTATAAGCAAAATACCTTTACTACTTGCAGCTTTTTGCTACATGGTTTATGAAATATATTTACATAAAGCAGTCTGTCTATTTAGTGCAATATAAGCCCTATAAAAAAAGCTAAAAACCTGCTAGTGAAACTCAGTGGAATTAGAACAGAGAAATAATTGGTTTGGTTGGAATTGGACAGAGGAAACAATTGGAACAGAGAAAAATTAACTCTGTATGTATAGAGAGGAAGAGACATAAGCTTGTCAGAAATATGCAAGAGCTGGCAGAAGGGGAGTGAAACATTATTTAAATCAACAATAGTAAGGTAACATTTGGAAGTGGATCAGGCATATGCCACCCTTATTCATTGAAGTATAAGAAAGGGAGGGTTTACAACACAATCAGGCTTGCAAGATTGACCATTAGGTAGACCAACCCCCAAAAAATCAACCCCATAGGAAAGCTAAAATTGCTTTTTGTGGAGATTGGCATGTGGAGATTGGTAATAGAACCTTGCAAGCCTGATTGTGTTGTATCTTTTGCCTAGGTAATAGTTCTTGCACATTTCTGTTAAAGTCATCTTCCTTATTCTTTAAAATATTTCCTGCAGATATCACATCTCTTTCTACTCAAGTTTCAGGGAAACCCTCTAATCCATGCACATTTCCTTATTTCGATGACTGTGTTATTTATAAAGGAGATGTGTCTCTACCATTTCAGGAGAATATTCAAAAAACAGTTTAGTCTCAATAGCCCATCTTAAAAGTGATAAAAAAGTGCAATAATTTAATTCAAGTCCTTGTATTTCTATCAGCAGTTGTCAATCCATGATGATACTATCACATTACTCATAACTATTGGTTATATTATTTTAAGGTTATGAGCTGAACATTAATAATAAGTTGAAGGAAGTCTATGTGATGGGCATTATAAAAATATTTTAAGCAACAATTTTCAAATGTTGTCCATGTTCATACCTGCATGTAATATTTCTAAATTAAAACAAAAATTTCAAATGAATTGTAGCACTAGGATGATTTTGTCATTCACAGTTTTTTTGCCTTTCTTTTTCATATGCACAGATTTTATTTTGACTTTATATAAATATATATTTATATTTAGATAAACCATTAATCCAAATGTTCACAAGAACTTCATAATGTGTGTGTGTGTGTGTGTGTGTGTGTGAGTGTGTGTGTGTGTGTGTGTGTGTGTGTGTACACACTAGGGACTGCCTCCAGACTTTACATCCTCATCTTCATTTTATTGCTCAGTGTAGATAAAAATAAAACATTTATTTTACTAAGGGGAAATGTAATGATGAATTGTATTCAATTTTTGTTGAAAATGTAATTGCAGTTTTACTTTATTTTATAGACTAGACTAGAAGTCCTCCTTTCAGTTCTCTTATAAACACTGACATTTTATGCACTTTCTTTTCATTTAGATTTTCTTCGAAATAGCATTCCAGTTCAATGTGTCCCAACTCCTGGGAAATGCAACAATTCACTTTTCTGTTACAAGGTTGGTTCCTGTAATATCTACACACCTTTAGATTGAATTGGGGTCCATTCTCTTTATTTTGGATTCCTCCAGTGAATTTATGGAAGGTTTCCACTGAATCAAGATTGTACAAAAGGAAAATTAGTCTATACTTTATTGGAATAAAAGGCTAAATGGTGATATATACAAAGAATGAAATAAAATAATAAATTTCATTGAATGATTAAAATGTAATAAAAGAATTAATGGCAATATAGTAAAATGATACCTAAAACAATGGTAATGTAAGTGGTTAAAAGGATTAATAAAGGATAAATTTGAAACTAATCAAAGCTTAACCAATGGCAAATCTTATATTAATTCAAATCAGAAAAACTGAACGGAGTTCCAACACTTGTAAGTCCCATTTATAGCGTAAGCATATTTAAGCATCCAAACTACTAAATCCTAAAACAGATTCATTATCTACTCCTTTAGTGGAAGGTTCAGTGTTCTTATGTGGTTTTCAGCTTTGGGTAGAATTAGGAAAACTTAATAAAGAAAGAAAATATAAAAGGGAAAAATGGTTTCTATCCCCTAAAGAAATTCAAAGGGTAGAATACTCTGTCCATTTATAGTGGAATAAAAGTTTAAAGGTTTTGAATTAAGGGGAAAAAATCCTGACAGTATGTTGGTAGTGGTGCAATGGTTACAATGCAATATTGAAAACTAACTCTGCCCACTGCCAAGGGTTTGATCCTGGCTAATTCAAGGTTGACTCAGCCTTCCATCCTTCCAAGGTCAGTAAAATGAGGACCCAGATTGTTGAGGGAAAGTAAAAATGAAATAATTTTATAATGTAACAATAAGGCAAAATATTTTGATTGTTGAATATTTTGTTTGATGTTTTGAGTATAATAGCTTGTTGATTACAATAGATTATGTTCTAAAGCAACTTTTAAAATATGTTTTGTTCTAGTGATAGTGATGAACTTGATGAGACTCTTGGAGACAACAGAGGAACTATTTCAATTCCAGTAAAATATGAAAGTGGATTAATATTTAAAAGGTATAACTAGATTTTATCTGTTTTTTTATACTGATCATCCAGGGATTTTTTTTTTCTGTTCTATAGGTAGAAAATCCCCTCCTCCACAAAACAAGAGAACACTGTTTCCTAACTTGCTTCTTAGTTCTCTTTGACTCTGGATTATTAAGGGCTCTTAAATCTGACTGATGCTGAACTGATGCTGAACTTAAATCTGACTGATGCCCATTGGTATCCTTCTGGAAGTGCACATATTTTTTTATTCCCAATCCTGAATGTATATGGAATCCTTTAATGTAACCCAGAAACACACACACACACACACACACAATTGTTTCTGATATTTCATGTCCAAAGCATGGTGTTAAAGTTGCTTTTTTTTTTACACTTTGCTATTTTTCAGATTCTTTCATAGAAAAAAAGATATTTACTGCAGTTAATGACCAGTCCATAAAATATCTTACATGTGTTATAATGATTAACTGATCATAAGTAAATAGAGCAACCATAATCATAAGTAAATAGAGCAACCACACTGTTCCACATCTTATATATGATAAAAATTGCATACTGTATTATCTGGCTTATTCCATCACTGAAAATATACTCAATTAATCGATGTTTTACCTCTATTACCGCTATTTAAAGAGAATGGAATTAGATTGTTGCATTTCACTAGTTGGTTTAAACTGGATTAACAATTTCATACTATATACATTGGATGGGAAAAAATATGCATTCGGAAAAAAATCTCAGGCTTATTAAATTCATATTTTCTTGAACAAGAATAACACCATCATATTGTTTTATTTTATTTCATTTTGTATGGATAACTGAAATGTGATATGTGACTACTTTGTGATTCTAAATCACTGAACATTATTTTATTTCTTTTTAAGAGAATCTAGTCCACATCACATCATCATCGCTGCAAATGATACAATACCTGCAGTCATTAATTCCACTGACAATATTGGAGAAGAAATTAATATAAACTACTTGGTAAGAGACAATGGCATTTTTCTGGTTGTGGACTTTAAAAAAATAACATTTATGTGCTGTATTTTTTTTAATCAGGAAAATTTTTACTATGCCAGTTTGTAATATTTTCTATGAACTAGACAAAACTTTCTGCAAATGGAGCTTCAGGTCACCTTACTGATTTTTACTATCCTGTATTTTCCCTTGTGCATATCCAAAAATCTGCTGCAAAGGATACCCAGATTTTCAGGATAGATTTGGAGTGGGTGTGTATTGCTACAGAGGGTAGAAACGAATTCACGCTTCTGGTAGGAGCTCAGTGACTTTGGTTTCGTACAGCTACAATTCATCCATTCAACCATAAACATTTGCCAGTTATAAACAATTTACTGAAGAATAAATGCCTCATCTTTTCCCTGAACCCATATTGGCAAGGAATTAGTAAGAAGCATAAACATATTTACAACAAACAACAGATCAGAACAAGTCATTGTGTCAGTGTGATATAAAATGGCCATTGGAAATATACCACAGATCATTTTATTTACTTTAGCTTAGGAATATGTTTCAGTTTGATTTATAGACTTTGGTTTCTAAGATAATGTTTAAATAATTATTTTCCTTGCATGCAAATTTGGTAAGGTGGAGATATACTGCCATGTAATTAAATTGTACAGTGTGTTATTTGTTTAGTAGTGACTGAAGCACCTGTTAGTAATAGGGAAAACATTTTTTAATTTTTATTTTAATTAGCTTTTCATTCATCTTTATAGATTGATAAGGGACAACATTTCTTACAGCCACAGCTTGCACTGCAAATCTCATTTCCAAAGAATGTTTCAGATGAAAATCAAATCCTTTACTTTACCAGGATATCATATTCAGAGGTAAATCAGCAATATATAAACTAACACTGCTCTGCAATTCAAAATTAGAGTTTGATTTCCACAACACGGGTCCTTGAATCAGTAAATGTTCCATGTGTTTCTTTGCATTGTTATTTATAATGGGAAAATTGACTCTACTTGTCTATCATAATAAATTAGATAAAATATGAAATGCTCTCTGGAATTATCTTCTAAAATAATATTTGATTTATCGAATGTTATAATTTAAGTAAACCATTTGTATAATTTCTATATAATCTAAATCCAAATAGATACATTATCTATACAGAAAACAGTGTGCCATGATACAAATCACTATTAGGAGCCTTTGGTTTCAAGCATGGTTTATCACATCAAAGAGGCTTCTGCAAACTGGTTCCAGTTATGCCAACCTACTCTCACTGCAAGAAAATAGATCTCCTGGTCCTACTGATTGGGAATTATGGGTGCCATGTCTGGAATAACTGGAGATATAATCTAATATACCTGGTGGGTAGCAAGGAAGGAAGGAAAGGAATGGAGTTCCTGTGGATTTTACTCCACTAGTCATTGCCAACTATAGTGGGTGGCAATTAACTTCAATTCATGAGCCAGCATTATCCAAAGACATTTCCATGGTCATGTGGCCAGCATGACATCACAGAGTGCTGTTATCTTCCCACCTAAGTGATACCTATTTATCTACTCACATTTACATGCTTTTGAACATGCAAAGTGAACAGGAGTAGGCAAAGATGGGCACTCACCCCATTGCATGATGCTCAGGTCTTGAATGCTGGGGTCTTGGTCTCAAACCAAGTAAGGAGTTTTGCTATAATAGCTAGACATTGAATTTAGGAAATATGAATATAAACTCATTTGGACATTTGAGAGAGCCAAAAAAGATATAGTAATGAAGATGCCAACTTGGTACATTAGGAACCCAAATTAAATCCTGTTTTAAACATGGAGCTCACTAGATAATGGATTCAATCATTACCTTTCAGCCCAAACTACTTAACAGTAATAAAAATAAAGGACATTGCTCATTGTGCACAAACTTCAACTCCAAGAAAATAAATTGTATGAATATAACAATAAATAACCATAATGTAAACAAAACTGAAATATTTCTGATATATTTTAATTTTGCCCAAGTGTTAAACTGTTTTAAAGTTACATATTATGCTCAATATATCCTTTTGTATACTTTATATAAAACTTTCACATTAATTGCAAAATTAAATATATATGCACTAGAAATTGTAATGTTAAAATAAAACAATAATTGCTAAAGTAGCCCAAAACTGATAGCAGAGGTTAAGAATGTGTATACTCTGATCTGGAAGAATGAAGAAAGAGGGAACTAGTGATTTGTTCTTCCCCACAGTTTCTTGCGTTTCTCAATTTTCAGAAGGTTGAGTGGCCTTTTGGCTTATTAGAAAAAGTGATTCTGAGAGTCACCCTTTTTCTATCAATTAAACATTATTCTGGCCAGAAAATAGTCAGGTGATATTATCTTTGGGAAAAGACTTGAAGTCCTCTGTTAAAATTATTGCAATATACAATTACAATTGTTCTTCTTGTAATAGAATGCAAAATGCCAATCCAGCCATCCAAGTGATTTGTTAAAGATTGATATGGGCAATCCATTCAAAACATCAAGAATACAAGAACCTCTAAAGGATCCCAACATAGTATGTATACCCAATATTAGGGGGTATGTGAAATAGTTAATATTACATTGTAGTGTACAATGTTAAGTTGCGGTTGAATTGTGATCATATGAATATAATCATATGTATACTTTTGCTGAGAGCAATGAAATGCAATTATAATATTCTTATTGCTAGAAAAGTAATTGGAAATAATGTTTTTAAATCTACAACATGGACTTTTTAAATGTTTAGCTTTGGAAATTTGATTTTCACCATCTCTCCACATAAGGAGGTTAAAAAACAAATATCCATCAATGTCTATGATAGTGTTTCAGTCAATCATCAATGAGAACAATTACACATCATGAAACTGTTGGTAATGCCTGTTAATAAGGCTGTCATGGCTAATGCAAGAGATTTGCACTGTCAGAAAAAATAATTCACTCTAGGAATTAAGGGTGCCCCTTCCTGGACCTGGAGATACTGTTCATGCCTTAGTCACCTCCCATATGAATTTTTGCAAATTGCCCCTTCCATTCAGAAGCTACAAATGAATAGTGTAAACAGTGATGGACACATGTCCATATTACACCATTTCCCCATGAGTTGCAATGCTTCTGGGTTCAATGTAAGATGCTAGTTGTCACTTACAAAGTCCTTCATGTCAGATAATTTACAGGAGTGTTTCTTGGTGGTGGTCCCAACAATGCTAGTATTTCATAAAGCATTGAAGACTTGGATGTGTTCCAAGGCATTGGGGTGCTAGGGTTGGAAGGTTAAATCAGTGTTTCTCAACCTCAACAACTTTAAGATCTGTTCAACTGTTGTAATTCCTTTGCCAGCAAGGGGCATCACAAACATCTTAAGATTGTTAAGGTTGAGAAACAAAGGGTTAGTTAATCTATTGAGTATTGTTTGTTATTTGTTTTGGTTGATTTTATCCTCAGTGGCCATTGTAGTTTTTCTTTTTTGTTAACATTTCTTCTTCTTGTTTTAGTATGTGATAAGTGGCACCCAAAGGCACATTCACTAGATGTGCAGCTGTATAAATTGATTAAACAAATAACATTACTAGAATGATCCTTACTAGATTTTGAAACAGATTTTTACTTTATTTATTATAGCCTGCAGTGAGGGCCTTCCTGAATGCAAAATGATGAGAAATCTGAACACTGAATGTCCTTTACTGTTGTAACCATTGTTATTATCATGACACTTCATACTTATTTCAGCATGATAAGGAAAATGTGTCAGGTTATTTAAAATTTTGTTATTTTGGGTAATTATATTTTGCAAATATATTAATGTGTCTATGGTCTTTTATACAGAATTGTGACAGATATGATTGTGCATCCATTAATTGCACTATAGCCCCATCAAATATAACTCATGTGAATATTTCATTCAGACTCTGGAAGCCTACTTTCATAAAGGTAAGTGAGCTATCGTGATAATTAAGAATTTAAAATGATATCTTGTTCAAAATCAGATACATATTAATAGGTACATGCATCATGCTAATTGCTTCATCTTTATTGGTACTGGCTGGGAAGGTTCTACTGAAAGAAGTGTTATGCTATATTATTAATAGATAATTTGTTCAAGGGGCAAGTTTTTTTATCATGATTCAAATGTTTTTAATTATTTCTTGATATATATTCAGTTTAATGTAATTTTATTGCTATTGTATTTACCGTGAGCCAAATTTGATCAAAGCATATGGGTACAAATTTTAAGGAATTGATGGAGTTATTGATTTTTATTCATGCTCAGAATTCCCAGATGTTAGCCACACTGGGAATATGGAAATTCTAGCTCAAACTTGGCAACTTTAAGGCTTGTGGACTTCAACTCTCAGAATTCTCCAGCCAGCTATGCTGCTGGATTCAGCTATGGAGTTGAAGTCCACAAGTCTTAAAGTTGCCAAGTTTGGGGACCCGTGTTCTAGCTCAATAACTCTTGATGGTAATAGATACAAGAGTAAACTATATTGAGTTTCATAATTAGAGTGTACAATTACAGGTAGTACTTGACTTACAACAGTTCATTTAGTGATCATTTGAAGTTATAATGGCACTGAGGAAAATGACTTATACCAGTTTTCACATTTATGCCCATTGCAGCATCTCCATGGTCATGTATTCAAAATTCATATTTATGACTATTGCAATGTCCCAGGTCATTTGATCTCCTTTTGTGACTTTCTGACAAGCCAAATCAATGGGGAAGCCAGATTCACTCAACAATCGTGTTACTGACTTAATAATTGCAATGATTCACTTAACATCTGTGGCAAGAAAGATAACAGATAACAGATAATCAGAGTTGGAAGGGACCTTGTAGGTCATTTAGTCCAACATCCCCATCTAAGCGGGAGACCCTACACCATTTCTGACAAATGGCAGTCCAATCTCTTCTTGAAAGTCTCAAGTGATGGCGCTCCCACAACTTCTGAGGGCAAGTTGTTCCACTGGTTGATTGTTCTCACTGTCAGACAGTTTCTCCTTATTTCCAGGTTAAATCTCTCCTTGTTCAGTTTCCATCCATTATTCCTTGTCTGGCCTCGGGTGCTTTAGAAAATAGCTTGACCCCTTCCTCCCTGTGGCAGCCCCTCAAATATTGGAAGACCACTATCATGTCTCCCCGGTCCTTCTTTTTACTAGACTAGCCAAGCCCAGTTCCTGCAGCCATTCTTTATATGTTTTAGCCTCCAGTCCCCTAATCATCCTGGTTGCCCTTCTCTGTACTTTTTCTAGAGTCTCAACATCTTTTTTATAATGTGGTGAACAAAACTGGATGCCGTACTCTAGGTGTGGTCTTACTAAGGCTTTATAGAGTGGTTTAGTACTTCCCTTGATCTTGATTGTATCCCTCTGTTAATACAACTTAGGATTGCATTAGCTTTTTTGACTGCTGCTGCACACTGCTGGCTCATATTTAGCTGGTTGTCCACTAGGAGTCCAAGATCCCTCTCACAGTTACTGCTATTGAGCCTGGTTTCACCCAGTCTATATGTGTATTTTTGGTTTTTCTTGCCTAAGTGTAGGACTTTACTTTTCTCTACATTGAATTTCATTTTGTTAGATGTGGCCCAGTGTTCTAGTCTGTCAAGATCCATCTGGATCTTGAGCCTATCTTCTTGGGTGTTAGCTATTCCTGCCAGCTTAGTATCATCTGCAAATTCAGTAAGTTCCCCTTCTATTCCTTCATCTAAGTCGTTAATGAAGATATTGAAGAGTACTGGGCCTAAGATGGAGTTTTGTGGCACCCCACTGCTTACTTTCCTCCATGTAGACTTAGACCCATTAAGGACTACTCGTTGAGTACGGTTTGCCAGCCAGTTGTGAGTCCATCTAGTGGTGGTGCTATCTATTCCACTTTTTTCTAACTTACTAAGAAGTAGGTTGTGGTCTACTTTGTCAAATGCCTTGCTGAAATCTAAATATATTATGTCCACAGTATTTTGCTGGTCTACTAATTAGTCACTGTGTTGAAGAATGAAATAAGATTGGTTTGGAATGATCTGTTTTTAACAAACCTGTGCTGACTGCTAGTTATTACTTTACTTGTTTCTAGATGTTGGTAGGTCTGTTTTTTTATTATCTTTTCCAGTATCTTCCCAGGTATTGATGTTAGGCTGATTGGTCTATAGTTTCCTGGGTCTGTTTTTTTTCCTTTTTTGAAGATGGGAACCACATCAGCTCTTTTCCAGTCCTCTGGTAGTTCCCCGGTGCTCCAGGATTTTTGAAAGATATGGTGCAGTGGTTCTAAGATGACCTCTGCCTGCTCCTTTAAAACTCTGGGATGTAATCCATCAGGCCCCGGGTAATTTGTTTTCATCAAGATCAGACAGGTGTTCTCTTACTATTTTTTTGCTTATTTTAACCTTTATTTCTGGTCTGTCATACAGTGGGCAAAATCCACTTAACAAATGTCTTGCTTAGCAACAGAAATTGTGGGTTCCATTGTGGTTGTAAGTCAAGGACTACCTGTATACTATTATGACATAAGAAAATAAAAAATGTGTTAAATTCTCCTCTTTTTTCCTTGTTTCTTCATGCTAAAGCAATGAGCAACATAAACTTTCACCCATCTACATATGTTTGAGGCAAAACATTATGGTATACAACTGTAATGTTGTAAAACAATAACCTGCAGACTTTTTTTGTTGTTGTTGCAGGCCAGGTAATAATTAATTTCCTTTCACTAAGACAGAGTGTAAAGTGAAAAGAAGAATTACTTTCTTTCCTCTAAAAAGAAAATATTGATAGCACTTAACAGTGTTCATGGATGTTGGTGGATTCTTGATTTTGAAACCATAGCAAAATTGTCTTTATAAAGTGATGGCTACCTAGATACTGTTAACTATTTTTCAGTAAAGGGTATTGTTGTTAATATTCAAAGAAAGCAGAGACTGGCCTAAACAGAAATGCAGCCATTTGTTCCATCTTGGCTTGGATTTTCCATTTTACCATAAGGGAGTCCTGAAAGTGCTTTTTCAAGAGGCAGTTTTTTTTTCCTTTTGAAGGCATTTCAGTTGTCATCCAAGAAGCTTCTTCAGCTCTGACTGGAGCTGTTAGTCAGAGATGGAGTTTCCTGGGTGAAAAGTGAAACGTCTTCAAAAGAAAAACCAAGAAAGTCCAGTTGCCTCCTGAAAAAGCACCTTTGAAACAACCATGACCTGGATGACTGAGAATCTCCATAGACATCATAAGGGATGCTCTTTGAGCCAGGGCCAAGAGGAGATGTAAAACAAAACTAGAGTCCTGATTCATCAGAGAAATTTTCCAGGTAACTAAAGCTAAAAAGGGAACATACCACTGAAAAGAGGGAATGTTGCCTAAGTATTCAGGCATGTGATAGGACTAAAAATCAAAGAAAACAGTGAAAAAATAAAACTAAAATTACATATAAAGAAGACCAAACTTTGGCAGCAGGTACAATATCAGTTTTAAATTGATAATGAAGATATTGAAGTGGTGGAGCTTTTGCTGTTTAGGATCGATCATCAACAATAAAGGAACAAGCAGCTAACACTATCATTTGATAGAACAGCCATGAAGATCTTGGAAAAAATATTGAAATACTGTAATGTGTCTGTACCTGTATGTAAGCCATGGTGTTACCTGTGACATGTCATGGAAGTGAAAGTTGGATTTTAAACAAGCAGGTTAGGAGGTCAGAAAAGACTCCTGAGAATACCAAGGGAATGGATCATTTTAAAAAATCTATCCATAGTTCTCACTCAAGGCATAAATGACCAGGCTCAAATTATCCTATTTTCGACACATTATGTGAAGATTCAGCTCTCTGGAAAAGGCTCTAACGCTGGATAAGTTAGAAAGAGAAGGCGGACAGATGGACTCAGTTACGAGATCATGAGTACACTGTGGGGAGACATGGAAGAATAGGGTAGGTTGGGGACAGATCATCTTGCAGAAAAATCTATTTGGTTGCTAGGAGTTGAAAATAGCTTGATGGCACATAATCAAATCTTTATATGCAGCTCTATAAAACCATATGTTTTTGGTTTCCAGTATAGCATTTTTTTACAATGAAGATATTGCCTTAGAAGCTGTGTTAGAGAGGGGGAATATCTCCATGTTCTAGCATTGGCTTCAACTTGCAAGCATTTTTTTTGTCCTTTGGTCCAAAGATTGATCTCATGAGATTATAAAAAAGGACAACTGAAAACATTGGACAGTAAGTGATCCAGATGGTAAGCAATATTTGTGTGGAGTCCAGATGATTGTTTCCCAGCTCTGGCATGCCTTGAGTAGTATGGTGGAGTTTGAGACAAACTAAAACTGCAGTATCCACTAAGGGATACAAATATTTTGATGCCAATAGTTTTTCCTTTGGCCCTTCTTGTGTCAACCTCCAGAAGAAAAGATTTTCTAAATAAGCCAAAATGCTGCTTATTTTCCCTATGAAGATCATTAAAGGAGTGTAATAGTAAATTATTCTGTCATTACAGCAAATTCCTTTATGTGCACTTCTACTGACATTTTTTATAAGCAGCACTTTCCTCTCTGAGTCATCTTTTGAATTGGGAACCATCAATGTAAGAGTAAACATTATCACTTCTATTTTATTCTAGGCAAAAATTCACAGCGTGGAACTCATTGTGAAAGCAAATCTAAGGAGTGAAAACTCATTAATGATCTTGAAGAAAGAAAATGAAAAAATAGAGGTGGGTTCCAGCAGTTTATTTTGCATATCATAAATTCAACTTGTGAGCCAGTTTAGCCAGAAAAATTATCTGCCTCTAATTAGGTGGAAAAATCCTAGAAAAAATACTTATAAGTAATCATACAGACCATTAGCTATATATTTCCTTGCAACTCAATTAGTATTTTTACTTGAGCGTTAATACAGCTGTTGGCATTTTAGAAATTAATAAATATTTGTGAGCGTCCTTGTAGAAATATTTAGATATGTATAACTGGTATAATGTATAAGATAAGATCAGCTGATATCTTACACTTTAGCTAATTGGACAACTGAAGCTCCATCTTTTTCATGTATGTTATGTATGTTGCATCATATTACACAGGACTGAGATGTAATTGCCTTGCTCAACAGTGAGATAGTGGCATATAAATTTAATCCATCAATCAAACAATAAAATCTATTTTTATTTGGAAAATGTCTAAATCCTGTACGGTAGGATTTACAGTACGGTAGGTATCAACTTGCAAATCAGCAAGTTGATAGAACTGTAGCTTTAATGTAGATGTAGAATTGGAGCTTTAATGTGCCTGAAATGATGTACAGTTGATAATATGACTTATCACATTTTTCTTTCCAAGGCACAAGTATTTATTTATAGAATAGAACAACACTGCAGAAGAAACAAAAAGTTTGCACTTATAGACTATATCCCATAAGTGGGAGAGAATCTGAGTTCAAATATTCCTAACACTAGCATTTGTACACTCACATTTGCACTTTTTAACTGTTCCCTAAACAATTTTATTCATAAAAAAAGCTAGGTTGGAGTCAGAGTTAAGGGAGATCTACACTTCCAGTGGTTGTTTCCCATTCAACATCTGCAGCAGATTTTGAAGACAAGTGGAAGTTATTGGGATAAAAATAATGAGTCCTGTCTCACTCAAGAGAACCTTTGAATTCATCCCAAGTCATATTTGATAACAAAAGAATGTGTTTCTAATGAATAAAAAAGTAGCTTCTATTCAATTTGATTTCTCAGTTTCTATTTTAGAGAAATCATTAATTCTTGTTGTGATTTAATGTATTTCAGACAATAATTCAAATCTCAAAGGAGCTTCTTCCTGGCCATGTGCCATTATGGGTTATTTTGCTGAGTGTTTTTGCTGGGCTCCTGATTCTTACCTTGCTTATATTTGCATTATGGAAGGTATGATGCATTTTTCTACATTTTCCTTTTCTGACATCTTGGTGATTTGGCAAAGGCAAGAAGGAGAAAATCTTTCTGATTATCTGCTTAAGCAATGCCACTTAAATGATGAGCCATCCATGAATTTTAAAAAATCAATGCTTTCTATCTTGCAGTGTTACAAATTTTAAAAAAATTCAGAAGACAGTTTTTGTATGCCATAATTTTGAAAGTTGTAGTATATATTATTATTAAATGGTTGTTAATTAATATTTATACAAGCAGATTCTGAATGTTATAAAAACATGCAAAATATTTTTTAGTAGGTTAGTGGCTGTTCACATTGGTGTTATCTTGGAATTATTTGTTTGGATGGAAAGATAATCCAAATGAGAAAAACAGTGCAATTGCCATATATAAGACTAAACTTTTAGTCTAAACTTGTACTTCCTTACAGGCTTGGCTTTTCCTAAATACTATTTCTCACATGTGTCTTTTTTCATATTCTTATAATTATTTAGTTTTCAGTTTTCAATTTATATAAATATATATTTTCAAATTTCTACTGAATTATTTTCATTTCTTCCCAATGTTCCACATAAAAATTCTTTATTGCTCTCGTATTAACAACTTCATCAGGTTTGAAATGTAGTGCACAGAGTGATATAATCTAATACAGTTAAAACAGTTGCTATTAGTCATCTGTCCATAAGCTGGCAGCCTTGTCAAAGCTAAGAACATAAGGTCTTCACAACTTGGAACATCTTTTAATGTCTTAGGACATACACTGTAGTTTCATTAATGATTCAATTACTATTAATGTAACCACAAAGTGACCCATTTATCA